CTATAAAACTATTGCTCGATCGAGGTGCCGATATCAACGCTCAAGGCGGCAGATACGATAACGCTCTACAAGCTGCTACTATATTCGAAAGGAACGATATTGTAAAGCTACTTCTCGATCGAGGTGCCGACTTTGACGCTTAAGATTCTGAAACCCAAGGACTCCGCAAGCTGCAGAGAAATATAATTGGACGCGCCTCAACGGCTTCTTGCATTGACTGTGCTTCAGCGTTCGCGACTGTCCATGATTCCGATTGCGACTTGTGAACGCTGTGGAAGGTTTGTCAGCATCGACCAATGAAACAAGCATGGCAACGTTGAACCGACCGGGACTCCAACTCCAATATGGCGTTCCTGAATGATCGAAGTCACATCATGCGATCCGTTGGCAGAAGGAGGTTGTGTGGGAAACCCGTCATTGCACGCCCCGGTTGCTTGGGCTGTGTCTGTAGTCTCTAGCCAAAAGCGGTCGATGCACCGTTGCACATATACTTTGTCCACGAATAGCTCCATTACCCTTACAATCTCAAGACTACTAACGAAATGCAACATATGCTTGAGATCTGAGAATTGGTCCGCGCTTCTTTCGGCATCTCGCAAAGCTTATATTTGATGGCAACCCCCACGACATACAGAATAGCTCCAGGTTTTAATTCGCCAGGTTAGCAAACATTCCCTAGTTTCGTGGGATCTCGAGGCTTGCAATTGGATGGAGAACTTTCAGATGAAGTGGCGCTCGGAGGTGAGGATGAAGGATAAACGGATGTCATCAATGCCGGATTGTCGGGCGGCGGCACGGAGGCGAGCGGTTCATGTGCGACTGGTTGAGTAACACTCCCTTCATGGAAATAGGTCTGGGGCTGCGAGAGGAGAAAGAGAGCTTTGAATCATGCTAGTCCATAGCTCATGCTCTCTGAGTTTTCGTCACAGAACGATGTGGGAGAGGACCTGCTGAGACCGGCGGCGCCGTCCGACCCCAACTCCGGCTACACTGTCCTAGGATCATGAAGATATGACGCTGAGCCTTGGGTGTCGGAGCCATTTTTTCAACTAACGTAGGTGGCTCTTCCTCATCGTAGTCAATGTCGGTTTGGATGCCGGTCGTGATAAGCGCGATAGGCTGCGCTCTCAAGATTTGCCTCCTTTTCTTTGCGACTCTGGGACGAGTCATTACCGCAGGTTCGCAGCGATCCATATAAGATCCGATAAATCAACAGCATTCTCATTTGAAAAGAGTGGTACGTTCGGGCTGTTCGTGAAACCTACAATAATGGGCATTGAGCTGTTTCACGGGATTCATCATATTGTATCATCTTCAAATAAATCCAAGCGTAAGCTTTTGCATCACTCATGGGACGGACGAATTCCAACAAAGGTGTACATTGTTGGTCCCAGACTAACATTTTCGGCTCCCGGTGATGGATCTTACAGAGCCTCTTTCTCACGTATAACTGGTGATCAAGATGGTGTTTTCCTGCTGGAGAAATCAATCTGATATTGGGGTCGATTATGTCATGTGTCGATCTACGTTGTCTCTTCTTATTTGGACGTCGTAGCATTGGTCAGTGTGATTCAGCACATCCTGGTGTATGTGTTTGATCATCGTAATCATCGTACAACATCTGACAATAATAAATTGTCAATTATTACGATTGTCTGCTATGACCCAGTGACTAATTGCTAGTTGTTTTGGTATGCAACAGTTTGACTTTCCAAATTACACCATTTTCCTAAAGGTCAAAACAGTCTCGATGAGAGTTCTTACTCTAATCACTCTCTCCCTTGGACCCAGCCTTGATTGCAGTTTCTGTAGTCTGAACCGGTTCATCAGGAGCAGTCAGGCCCGACTGGCCAAAGTGTCTCACCACGAACCACGCCGGAAGGATGGCCAGAGCCCAGAAACCAAAGTTGAGGTAAATGGCGCCGACTTGGGCAAAGAGCTGTATCGACGTGAGACCGTAGCTCACGGCTTGCCAGGCAGACTCTGTTCCACGGAGCAGAGCGGCGTATCGAATAACCTCGGCCTCACCATTGGCGAGATTAGTCACGATAAAGTATCTAGAGTACATGGTTAGTTCTCTCTGACCAATGGACTGTGCGAGAAATGAGGACGCCGCGACAAGAACTTACAAGAAGAGGTAGTTGATCTGGAATCCAATCGTGTGCATAATGTAGACGGCAAAGGCGGCGCCGAACCCGGGCGTCGACCAGTCATAAACGGGCTTCTCGACGCGGAACCGCGTGGCCAAGACCGTTATCCACAACCACCAAGCACCCTGGGTGACAACGAGGAACCAAAAGGTTGAGCGTGTGCGAAGCTTGAGTGAGAATTTTGTGTGGTCGAGGTAGTTCTGTTTTCATGCAAATGTTAGTCATCAGACAAGTTCAGCGACCTTTTTAAATGATACTTACTCCGAGGAGGTTTCCGGCAATGATGGCACTGATACCCGAAAGAAATGAACCGAGAGCTCGGGCTCTGACAGTGAACCACACTATTCCATCTTGTCAATATACAAATTGCCAATCAGCACCACGGGGCAAAGATGGAGAACTCACGAGCAAGATAGGAGAAGAAGACTGCCTCGGAAAAGACAGCCTGTCCAATCCAGAGAACAATGAGAAGAAACTTTGGCTTGAAAAAGTCCTTGGTCGTCTCCTTGACCTCGTGCCAGGGGTTCTCAAGAATGGCCAGAGACACCTTCTTGCCGTCCTGGCGCTCGACCTGGGCGGGCTTATTGAGGAGCAGGGCGACAAAGGGGCCCGTGGCCTGCAGCGCGATAAAGACAAGGTAGACGGTGTAGCTGACGGAGCCGGCCTCGTCGCGGTGGGCGTTGATGCCCAGGTTGATGGCGCCGCCGAGGATCTGACCGCACAGCCGGTACGTCAGCCAGTAGCCCAGGGCCTTGCCGCGGTTCCAGGGCTCCGGGTAGGCAATGGCAATGGCCGCCTCGGCCATCCAGAAGATACCGGCCGAGATGCCGCAGAGCGCGGCTCCCAGGAGCACGAACCACTCATTTCCGAAACGGTTGTTGGTGTATAGACCGGCGGCGTAGGGTGCGTATCCTATACTGAAAGGTATTGAGAGTTAGTGTCATTTCCTTTCAATGCAATATTGTGGTGCGTATGTCGAGTATAATGAGTACTCACGTGCCCACCAACAAAGCACCCTTGATGCCGATATAGTGCACAATAACACTCGAAAAGTAACAAGATACCACCATCAGACAAAATGTCAATGCATTAGCGGCATTGATGAGCTCTGTTGAGGCTGCTCCTCCGGCACCCAAAGAGTTCATAGCTCCCCAGATACCTGGCGCGGCGAGGTTACACAGACCCAATATGGTCATGTTATAAAACGTGGAGCGATTCCATTTCACTATTTTTCCACATTTTAGTATAAGAGCATACACCAGTCCTGTAGATTGTTTACCTGGATGACGCTCCGACTTGGGCGGCTTGGCCTCGTCAATCACGAGCTGATCTGATCCTGCCGTCATCTTGTTGTTGTCCTTGTTCAACCCTGATGATACAAACACTCAGTCCTTTTCTGTCAATATCAACGAGGGGCAAAGGTATTTATCTATACTTTTGAACATTCATTTATTCAGGATTTAAAAAAAATCCATTCTGCCCCCAAGCGACCTCGGTAGTTCTACTAGTAGTAATGCGAATAACGCCATATCGACCAGAAAGTGGATCGCCCATGCAGGTATATCGCAATTAACCCATGCTGAGCACGCCATTACCCAAGCGTGATCACCACAGTAGACCAGAGACTGGCGCCCTTGTTAAAGTTCAGCTCACCAATTTTGAAGAGGAGAGAAAAACAGACATCATTTTGATATGATCAGATGTAGTAAAGATTGTGAAGAGGACAAAAAAAGCAGGGATGTCGCTGTCATAGTAGCTCATACGTGATTGTCTCACTCCCGGCAGACAAGTCGGCCATCACGATCGAGGGTCGCATCTCCTCATGTTTACTCGCTTAACAGGGACTTTGCGTATCATTTGGATAATGCATAGCACCACTGTCAGCTACAATTTTGTGGCCAAGGCCAGAAGAAGAAAAATTCCATACAGAAGTTACCGGCCGAATGGTTCCATCGGAATGCTTGCTGCTAGATTCTCGGCTCATGTTATCGGTTGAAACACATCTCCCGACATTGTACATAAGCGGCACTTAAGCGACATACAAACGATAACCACCCTGGCAGCCGCAATGCCCAGACATCTTCAACCATACCGGGTCTAGTCAAGGCTTTTTGACCAGGGACTATGTCTCCCACCACCAACCCCCAAACCCTGCGATTCTGGATCTCGGCGGATTGCGAACAATCACGACACCACAAAGGAGGTCGTTCCTCTTGAATAAGGATAGGAGCCAAAAGTGGTTCCGGTCTCGATGGTCACGGACGTTGCTTTCCATATTCGCTTACGTCGTCCGTGGCCCAGACCAAGGCGTTTGGTCCCGTTCGAGCCCAAGGGTCAGGCTCGGAGCGGATTGACCATATGCGGTGTATGCCCTCTCATATAGAAAAGCAAGGGAGCTCAAACGATGCAGCATCACGACTAAATTTCCAACACGCTTTAATGATTCACAACTTATACAAGTAGGACAAATGGCAGACATGGCTTGGTATCATAAACTCATCATTAGTTGCTAGAATTCGCTGCTCTATTTCACCTTGGCCATGATTGTCTCCGGGCCTCTTGTAACCTCAATCTGCGCCGCTCTTGCCTTGACCGCATTGAGCATGCTTCTCTCAAAGTCGTCTCTCGACCGGAGGACTGCTTCCACCCAGCTGATCTGAAGATCCCAGTACCTGAGCTTGAAGCCCTCAAAGACATCTGGTATTGCTTCCTTCTCAGCAGTCAACAAATCCAAAAAGGGTTCCGTGACGCGCCAAGTTTGCATAATAGTGTCGCTATTATTAGTAGTCGCCCTAAAGAACTCAAAAGCCGTCTTGAGATCGTCAAAGACCTTGTCCTGGAAAGGATCGGTGCGTCGGAACTTGACAGTCTTGTTGCGTACACACATAAGATAGCGCGCCAAGAGCTCGTCTGCGAAGATCTCGACAAAGGTGTCGCACAAGGCGTGGTGCAAGACTGGTCGATATTCGCCCAGGTATTCCTCAAATGTCGCAATAAGCTGCTTCATGGTGGCCTTGCTGTACCATTCTGGCGTGAAGAATGTGGGCATTGCACTCTTAAAGTCTACAGCAAAGACCAGTCTGACAAACTTGCTCAAGCACCACGTGCTTAGATCAAAGTAGTTGCCCTGGAGCTGCTCAAACTCTCCTTCTGCGCGTTCCAGGTATGCCGGTGTAACAAGTGGTTCGAACTTTTGCTTGAAACTGGTCAAGTAACCGAAGCGCTGTTCCTCTTCTATATCATCCACACAAGCAATCTGGTCGTTTGCAGTGGCGACGAGCCAGTCTTGCAGGGGCTGCATGCCCTCGAGATCGGGCAACTTGTTGGACTCGTATTTAAGCACTTCGTCTTCGAGCATCTTTTGAATCGACTGCTGCCGGCCGCGTAGTCGCAAGAACATAGCATCAATCACACCCTCGGCAACGTCGGTTCGGCCCGAGTTACCAGCGCCGTCCACTTGTTCTCGCAACATGCGCCACATATCCACGAGATTCCTGGTACGGAAGTATCCGTACTCGTCGGCGTCCAGGTTAGACCCCTCGACCATCCGGTCTGCAAAGTCTTTTCTCTCCTGCGCGAAAATTCTCTCGATCCACTCATCCAAGAACTTGATGATGAGGTCGCGGAAGCCCTTGACCAACTCTCCTTCGCGATTGTCGATTACATGTGGCTTGAGTTCGTGTTCAGGGAATCCAAGCTTCTTCATCTTTTTATAGTAGTTCTCAGGCCAGTTGATAATGGCAAGAGTATGCGCCGAGCTGAACTCGGGGTCTTCAATCATGCCCACGAGAAAGTCGTGCATCAGTTGGTGATATATGTCGCCATAAGTCTTCAAGATCTTCCACTTTTTGGGCATCAGGGGCACCATGCCCTGCTTGACGGCATTCAAGTCGTTGAAATACCACTTCATCATTTTGCTCAATCCGTCGGGATCGCCCAGGAATTCTTCTCTAACTTCGCCAAATTGTTGTTCGCAGTTGAGGCTGATGGCTTGTAAAAACTTCTCCTTGTAGCCGCGCACCTTTTTCGCGCCCTCAGTAATGGCTTGGAATCTTGTCGCCATCTCCTTGTGATCCTTTAATGCTTCTTGCAGGGCCAATACCCTCTGATCACTCTTCTCCTCGGCCTCGACAATAATGGCAAGACGAACAACCAGGCTGTTGTTATCGGCGATTAAAAGGTTGATTTGGTTGAGCGCAATCAGACCAATATGCTCGTCGAACCAGTCGATAGCCTCATCCAGCCTAGAAAAGTAGTCCTCCAATGTCGCAAGCAGACTGGCGTCGTCGGCTCTCGTGATCTGCTCCATGGCATCGTCGCGAATATTTCGAAGCTGCGTCAGCTCGTAGTGGGTTGCCAGGAGGTTGGGCATGGTCTCCTTGTCCTCCTCATCGCCCCGCAGCATGATCTCGACGCCGTTGAGCCGCTCGTTGAACATTTCGAGGTTCTTGCGCATGGCTTCGACGGCGCCAAAGTTTCGGTGGGCCTGGGAGACAAGATTGATGGCGTTAAAGTCCTTGATCATGTTCTGGCTCTCGGAGCACAGGCGGTCGATCTTGATCATCTCCTCCTTGATGGCCTGCACCGTCTTTTGGCCATCCGTCAGCCCGCTCATGCCGGCTTGTGTCGTCTCGAGCTGCTCACGAAGGCCGCCGCGGAGCTGGGAGTCGACAGCGGCCTTTTTGCGCGTAAACTCGAGCTTCAGCGCAGGCAGCTTGTCGAGGTCGTCCGGGTGCCGGAGGAGCTCAGAGAGCTTGACTGGCGGCGCATCCATCATGTCGTTGTCGTTGTTGGCGTGTCCGGTGTTGTTTCAGTAGTGTCGGTGCCACAATGGCAACATATCGTGATGGACTTCACCACATGCCAGTCTGCGATGGTTTTATGCTTGGTGCTTTTGTAGCATAAACAAGCGATTGCCAAGTGGATGCTGTAACGGATGGACGAATTCAATGTTGTATGTAGGTAACTGCTGCCACCCAACAGGTCTCAAGATCGCTAGCAGGGATGAGTGGCGGGTACGCAAGTGCTATTAGGGGCACGGGCCCCACTAGGTGAGGGACCTGTACATATCGAGGTACCTGACTAAAGCTTGAGCACTGAGTCTGTTGTTGTATTACCGATGTTGTCATCTCACAGACATGTCAACTCTATTCATTCCATTCACTACACATTCATCATTCTGTTTTGACACGCTGCTCGTGGTTACAAATAGATAGATAGATATTATTAGGAAATTCACAAGTCTGAGCCACTCGATATCCAGTCAGATCCTCTGTTGACAATCATGAAGCTGAATTAATTATTCTCACACTCTTATCCCATGCCGGCTCCCTACATTAATGCAGTGAGACAAGATGCTTGCTAGTATACCTGGTAGGCGGAGTCATCTATCTATGCAAGGTCGTAGCGAAGTCTAGCAAGAGTTTGGCCGGTTCTTGACATCTGTCACCTATCAAGTAATCACCATGATACACAGCCTATCCTATATAGGAAAATGCTCATGTGGTAATCGTCTGTTATGTTCAGGTGATTTGTAAGTCGGTTGAACTATCCACCATTCCTATATAGTCGCCTTGATTCAACCTGACCGCCTCGAACCTCGATTTGCGTTTGCCATTTATTCCCCGAATTCCCTCGCAATCTCTAGTAGGCACCAGCATCAAGTACCCTTTGACACAGGCAGCCTCCCAACCTTTCCAATAGACACATCACCCACCTTGTCCGCCAACAACATCCCAACATGTCTTCCTCAGAGGATAGCAAGCCAAGCGAGACGTACCAATGCGGCTGCCACTGCGGCTACATCAAGTTCAGCATGACCATCTCCCCGCCGCTCACGGGGCAGCCCGCCGCCGCCGACGGCAGCACCGGCAACTACAAGGTGACCGAGTGCAACTGCTCGGCCTGCGCGCGCTTTGGCTACCTGCTCGTGTACCCGCCCGCGACGGCCGTGACCTGGTCACCGGGACACCGGGAGCGGTGCGCCGAGTACGAGTTCAACACCAAGAGCAAGGACCAGTTGTTCTGTCCCAAATGTGGTGCGAGCCTGGGCATTGATTTCCGCGCGGGACGAGAACCTCATACCTATGGTATTAGTGTAAGTTTTGAAAGACGATTTCTGGGCCTCGGTTCCTACCTCTGATGATTTCGCTGCTTCTTCCCTGTTGTGACCCCGTGGCTAGCTTGTTGTTGCAACAAGGCGTGTGATGTTGTAGAATGGGGAGAACGATGAACCAAGTAGAGAGATTGGCACAAAACATATTTATATACCAATTCCTTGGCACAAGGTGGACATCAAGGTTGTTCGCTAATACTACATCCACATTCTAGGCACGGACTATTTATGGCATCAATCTGGACGACCTCACTCTGAAAAAGTTGGACGGCATAAAAAAGATATCTCCAGCTGGTGATCTCTCGGGTAATTGGTGGGATGAGGAAAAACAAGAAATGAAGTAGTCTCATTCATAAAAGACTAGCAAGCACAATCTCAGCCTGTCTCGCCTGGGGATATTGCTTGAAAATGCATTACATGTTGGGTGTCTATAGTAGTCAATCCGAAATAAAAGCTCCATTAGCTAGCCATCCCTCCTTAAGCATAACCCGATTCAGCCAAAATATTTCATGTAGTTTCTTCACCATATCGATAGGTATATATCTCAAGAGGCAATCGATCGTGAAAGACAAACTTGTTCCTTGACGCCGGATTTTGGATCTCTATATTTTATCATCTTATTTTCTCTCGTCCTAAAACTGCTCATTCTCGGCCTAGTCTAAGACTGACACTGAGCAATTATGCCGTACCAACGCGTCTGGCATAGAGCTCTTCGGCAGTCTTGATGGTCGTTGTGTTGGCACCGAGCTTGTTGATGGTCTCCATCCATTCATCGTATTCATCCGAGTCAAAGACAATGCCGCCACCTGTCCAAGTCATTAGCAAATTTGATACAAACCTTGATTGACTCGATCGCATGGTTGTGGGAAAAACTTACCAGCTTGGAGATATGCTACCTTGTCCTTGTAAAGCATGGTTCTGAGCGCAATACATGTATCCATGGCGCCCTCGATCTCTTCGCCATTGACTGTGACCGAGCCGTAGCCAAAGTAGCCAACTGCGCCAGCGTAGATACCACGCTTCTCCTTTTCCAACTCAGCAATCAGCTCCATGGCTTTCACCTTGGGAGCACCAGAGACTGTGCCAGCGGGGAAGATGGATCTGAACGCATCAAATCTCGTCTGGCCTGGCCTCAAAACGCCAGACACTTGGGACACGAGATGCTGTACGTGGCTGAACTTCTCCACGACCATAAGGCGGTCCACACGCGTCGTCAAGGGATCACAGACGCGATTCACGTCATTTCGGGCGAGGTCGACCAACATGACATGCTCAGCACGGTCCTTGAGGGAGCTCCTCAGTTCTTCTGCAAGCTTCTCATCCTCCTCGGGTGTCTTGCCACGCTTGACGGTTCCGGCAATAGGGTGCGTAATGATGCGTCCCTCGTCTTCCTTGACGAGCAACTCGGGAGAAGCTCCAATGATCTGGAAATCCTTGCAATTGATATAGAACAGGTACGGCGACGGGTTGACTGTCCTCAAGTGCCTATAGATGTTGAAGGGATGCAAGCTCGTGGGACGTGCGAATCTCTGCGACGGCACAGCCTGGATGATATCACCCTTGACAATGTGCTTCTTCAACTCTGTGACGTGGTTCTCATAACCCTGCTGTCCAATATTCGATTTGGCCTCGTTACCCAGCTTGATGGGCTCCTGCTCGGGGATTGGGATCTCGGGAGCGTTGAGCACATCAATGAGCTCGTTGATTCTCTGGCTGGCTTTCTCGTACTCGGAGGGCAAAGTGTCGAGGTTGTCAGAAATGGGGATATAAGTAACCACCTTGATGACACCAAAGAAGCGGTCAAAGGCCACAATGGTATCGAACATCATAAAGAGAGACTCGGGAATCTTGAGCACATCCTTCATTGGCCGTGCCGTCTTTGGCTCAAAGTACCGAACACAGTCATAGCCCACGTAACCCACGGCGCCGCCGCTTAGAGGTGGCAGCTTTAGGCCTGGTACTTCTAGCACAGTGTACTGCGCCAGCTCTTTCTCGACGCCCGGTAACGGATCAACAGACTCGCCATGGCCTTCGCCGGTTGTGATGGTCTTGCGGGGCCCAGCAGCAACAAAACTATACCGTCCAACTCTCTCGGTGGCTGCACTTTCGAAAAGGCAGGACAATTCGCTCTTGGAATGCGCAGAAACTTTGAGGTAGGCTGCTGAAGGTGTGATGAGGTCGGCAGAGATCTGGCCGTATACCGGTACGAGGTTCGCCTTCTTGGTGCCCTTTTGGGGTTTCGAGAGGAGCTCTTGGATCGTGTCCAAAGACGGGAGAAGGGTGTCCTATGCAAAGAGAGAAATGTTAGCTTCTGATTGTGACGTTCGCAAATCATGGTTAACTACTAGAATCAGTAGGTCAGTTTGGCGAAAGAAGGGCCTTCTCACAGCCTGAGTCATAGCGAGCAATTGACTGCTTGTGTGCCGCCAAGAGCTCCGGATCGAGGTACAAGACCGAATTTCAGGTGATTGCCAGGCAGCGAAGACTCGAACTTGGTCGAGGGCAACGTTTCATACAACAAAATCGTCACCTTGCTGGATTGGCTGTTCAATTGGGCCAAGCATTGGAACCTTTCGGGGTCCCTAAGTATGCGCAGCGCGGGGCACAAACTCGCAGAGCGCATAGTAAGCGCTTTCCAAATTCAGGTACCATTTCGGCTGCAGATACAGCCAAAAGGTTGCATGCGCTCCTCGCCTCACGGGCATAGTAAGGGTCGGTTATGTCAACTTACCATGCTGAAGGAAATTGTCGTTCTGACCGCTATCGCCAGAGCTGGTATCAAAGTTGAAGCTATCAAACCCACCCAGCGATGACTCTGGCGTCGATTTTAAGAAAGACCCGTACCTAGATGCTAGCGTTGGTCTGATCCACTCAGAACTACCTTGTGTAAACGGCTGATCCGGCATCGCTCTTGGGTATGACAAGGTAAGATCTTGTCCGACTTCATATGGCAGCAAGCTTATTTTCACCTTTCTCTTGTATGATTTGTGGGTTGAGCTGCAATATCATGTAATCAGTCTCCGTCAGTCGTCCATCTTACACACACGTCGACTACATGGACAGAGCTAGCCGATCGTGTCAGACGCAAGACTATATTTGTGTTCGACCTGAAGGATGACACCCGGAGCGGCCCTTGTCTCGATGCTGACAATGGCTGGAGCACTATTGCGTCCAATATTTCAATGCCCACGTAAGAAGCTAACTCAGCTCTCGATGGCCAAAGCCTTGACTCCTACCAATTTGGCATCTTTTCCTTTTCCTTCCGTAGTAACGACCCAATATTCCACCCTCGTGCCATCCTTTCTTATTCTGTAGACCCGAACGTCGTTACCCTTGCCCGCCTGGCGCACCGCGTCCAAGAGGTCTGAGTATTGTCCTTGCGTATCCCAGTCTGCAGGATCTTGGATCTCTATTTGCGCACTCGAGGGATTCGGATGGGAGATTAAGCTGGCAAATTCCTCTGTATTATGAATGTGAGCATTAGCATAGACTGAATGATAAGTATGTATAAAACAAAAACCTTGAGAAGGAAAGCAGTCTGTGTTCCAAACCAAGCCAAATGACAACATACCTTCATCGGGCAGCCCTTTGCCATCCTCGTTCCATTTAAGGCAGACTGGCTCAAAAGGCTCATCGGCATCGCTAGTGTAAAACGCATCTTTCACAGCGCTCTTGAGGACGGCGGGCACCTGTGCGCCTGAATCTGTGGTCTTGAACGCTTGCTTTGCGCTGCTGGCCGACTTTGCAGTCTGGCCCTCATTGGGATCCTTGTTGGCCTTGTCCAAGAAAGCCAAGTAATCTTCGTCTGAAGCCATCCTAAGACGTATGGATGTGGTAAATGATCGCTGGAAGACGGTCGGATGGGTGCAGGTGCTGTCAAAGTCTGGTGGAAAGAATGTTGTTCGGGGTGCGGAGGTTGGCCGAGTAAGGTGGGGGAAGGCCTCGACACTTGATGTATAAAACCTTTTTGCAGCAATGCCAACTTCGTTGAAGGAAAGAAGGGAAAAATTGCCAGTCTTGAGCACCTGAAAACTTGCTTTTGACATTCGGCTGAGCATCTGTGTCGCGATTGGGAAGATCCCAAGGTGGGCTGGCTGGGAGTTATGACGCACACCAGGTGGTACCTATCCCCAGGTATACTGCTTTACACGTACCTTAGCTTCCCAGTAGCTGCGAGTTTGGGGCCGTTCTCTCTTTTGGCAGCGGATGGCAAAATCCACATTACAGTTGGCAGAAAATACAGTTCAGAAGATTAAAAAAGTATCATTATTTACGGAGCAAATCAGAAGACATCACGGTGCAAAGCACAAATATGCTCATTTTGGGAATCATAGGTTCTTTGTTCATCATGCAACTTTTCTCATTAGCTGCGTTAGATATCTCGAAAACCGATTTTCAGACCACCACGCCCGTTGCAGTGACCATGAAGAAACCCCAGGGAACTCCTATGCAAGTGAACAGAACCAAGGAAATGCAAGTACAGAAACTTTTTACGAGCTCTGAACGAGATCCTTCTTGAGAGTACCCTGGAATTGCTTCTTCTCTGCCGGGGTCTGGAAAGCACCGTGACCGAACTCGGACGAGGTGTCGATCCACTTGAGCTCGACCTTCTCGAGGGCCTTTCTCGAGGTGTGGATGAACATGGACTTGCGCAGGGTCACAACACGCTTCTTGGTACCAGGGATGGAACCCTTGACCATGACGAAGTCGTTGTTGATCTCACCATATCGGACAAAGCCACCCAGACTACATGTCATGTTAGCATTCAATCATTCGATGGACAAATTCAAAACGAGAAAGACGTACGGAGTGATGGTCTTCTTGGTGACATCCTGCTCGGTGGAGGCGTTGTTGTCGGCGTCTCCCTTGCCAATGCGGTAAACCTTGTGGTTGACCGAGGTACGGTGGTGGTAACCCATCTGACCGGCACGGGCAACAGTCCACTGGACGTGGGAAGGATGCCATGCACCGATACAAGCGACCTTACGGAGACCCTTGTGAGTCTTACGGGGAAGCTTCTTGGTGCCCCAACGGGAGGTGACACCGTTGAAACCGTGACCTCTGGTGACGGCGATGACGTCGATCATCTCGTCCTGCTCGAAGATGCTGCTGACCTCAATGGGCTTCTCGAAGAGACCGTGGCCGAACTCGATCTTGTCGGCAACGGAGCCACCGTTGATCTGGATCTCCATCAAGTGGGCCTTCTTCTGCTTGAGGGGAGTCTTGCGGATCTGGGTGTGGGCGAGGACACGGACGACAGTGCAGTACTTCTTCATGCGCTCGAGCTCGCGGCTGATGGAAGCACCCTTGGCCTCGGAGTGCTTCTTGGCGTACTTGGTGAAAGCCTTCTTCTTGGACTTGTACCAGTTCTTGTAGAAGCGACGCTTCAGTTCGTCGGACAAGTGCTCTGCCCAGACGGTGGTAAGGGATCGGAGACCGCGGGGAGTCTCGATGTAACCAACCAGACCAACAGCGATCATCTGTGAGATGTTAGCCATAGGCACAAAGCCAAGCGGGCTGCGCTGTTCGTACCGGAGGGGTGTCAATAATGGAAACGGCCTCGACAACCTCCTTCTTGTGGGCCTTGGCACCGGGACGGTCGAGGTCACGGACGATGGTGGTCATACCAGCCTTGTAACCCATCATGGCGGTCAGGTGGACGGGCTGCTTGGCATTGTCCTTGGGGAAGCTGGTGAAGCACAATGAATTAGCGATTCTGCTTTCAAGAATGGTGTGCGCAATATCAACAGCGATATTGTACAGCTCTTCCTGCTCCTCCTCTTTCTCGCGCGCGCAGAGTGAGTTCTCGATGCATCCCTCTTGTTGATGACCAATCGCCCAGAGTCCATGTCGTGCGAAGATGCTGCAAAAACCGCTCTTGAATCCATTTTGATATCGGGTTGAACTTACGACTTGACCTTACCCCGGTGACGGGCAGCCCGCTTCCTGGGCAGGTAAGCCAGCGAACCGTGACGGGGGGCCTCGAACTTTCGGTGAGACATCTTGATTGATCCTGGTGGTTAGTATCAATCCGGTGGTGGTTGAGAGGATTGGGAAAAGTTCTTCAAGAAGAGTCTCTTCAAGAGGTCTGGAAATTTCCCAAGGTGGTGAGGGCAGTAAATTTTGGTGCGGGCCAAAACTGTGGACCTTAGACCTGAGATTAGCCGAGTGGGGCGGGCGAGAGAAAAAAAAAAAAAAAAAGCGGCCACAGCAGAAAGAGCGAAGAGACTTTGGACTTTTCGCTACTGAACCCTGACGCTTGGACCAATTGTACAGCAGCATAACCACGAACTCACAAGAAAGGTGGGGGGGTGACGGGGAAATCCTCTTCACGTGATTATTCACAAGGAGATGGCATGGTGCTTTAAGGCCCATGACAATTGGTTCGAATGATCATAATCCTCGGTCAAGCATCGACAACCTTTATACTGGACTTGTAGATTAGTATTGAGATATGTGGAAACGCACTAGATTTTCAACATATTTATTGGCGTTCAGCCTCCACCAGAGACGAAGGTGAAAGGGTAAATGATTGTATGTTCTCACAGAACGCTTAAACAGAAAAGTCCAACTTTGTGATGGATTCAATTGAAAAACTGGGTATGTGTACTAGACAAAAGCAAATAGTGTAACACAAGAACCTCGACAGCAGCACCACGACTTTCAGTGTCTTCTCTCCATGATCGTTATTCAATTATGCCGTACCCTCCGTCTTGGGCGCCGGTCCCATTAATCCATTCATACCAGCACTCGTCGGTGTTGACGTCTTAAGCTCTCCAGTGGCAGACGCTGGCCCAGAAGCAGGGCCAGTAACATTGACCTTCTTCTCTTCCTCGCCACTGTCATCATAATCCTCGTCAACGTCCATCTTGCGAGCTGCTCGCTCTGGCTCGTTGACCTGCTGTGGTGTGGGCGTTGGGGCCGGTGCAGGAGCCGCAGGATGCTCATTTCTTGGTCGTTCTTCCTGAGGGTATTCCTTGGCCTGCACTGGCCCTGGGCCGTTGTGTGATGGGCCATCGTGAATAATACCCTGCATTGGCGAAGGGCCTTGCTGCATTGGTGGCAAGTGCGTCGACATTGGGTGTGCAGGCTGGTGATGAGCAGCCTCTGACGGGTGGTAGTTATCATTGGCACGACGCTGTTCATCAGCTCTTCGAAGTTCTTCAGCATGACGCTGATCTTCAGCACGTCGCTGATCATCCAACCGACGTTGCTCCTCGAGGCGGTGCTGTTCGGGTGATGTTCGACGATATGGCTCTGGCCCGCCCCGGAGGGGCGTTGAAGGGCGACGGTGGCGCATGTCGTGGATGAGAGCGCGATTCTCCTCGGAAGCAGGCTTTTTGATTGCAGGCTCATCTTCCCATTCACGCATGCGCTTGGGTCCAACAGACGGAGGACGATTGTCAGCGCGATGCTGAGGACCATCTGGGCCCATGGGGCCCTTGAGAGGAGTGGGTAGACCGTTATCCATGCTACTAGGACCAGCCTCTGGGTGGTGACCATGAGGCGGTGGTTGATACTGGGGGTAAGCCGACTTGGGACTAGGCATGCGGTTATCACGCATGGTAGGTCTCGAGTCTGGCCGGGGAGATCCAGCTCGGTAAGGCATCAAGTGCGGTGGTGGTGCAGCGCCATTCGGGGGGCCACTCGGCGGTCCGTTGCTCGATTGAGACATGCTTGCCGTCGGTGCCGGTGTATAGTTGGGGTTACTGACCCGAGCCTGTCCTGCTGAAGCTGGAGGCTGAGGCTGCGAGGGAGGAGGTGGAGCCCCGTAGTGAGGTGGTCCGGGAGATGGGCCACGGCGGATAGGGGCAGGTCCTGGCGGAGGTACCTGGCGGCCAGCATCGCCGTAAGGTCTCATCTGAGCTTCTGCGCGAGGGCTAGGCTGACGCGGCATTGGCGGTGCAGGGCCTCGGAATGGCTCTCTCTGGTCATACGGGTTTGGCGGCTGTGGAGGATTGACATCACGCAGACTGCCCCAGCCATTAGCACCACCCGGTCCAACGGGGGGACGGCCAGGCGGTTGCTGTTGCTGCGGTTGTTGTTGTTGCTGCTGCTGCTGTTGAGGGGCAGCGGATGCGCCGGTCCATTGCGGTGCCTGGGGACCCTGAGCACCGTAGGTTTGGGGATGCACATCGGTAGGTACAGGGGCAGGGCCTTGAGGAAGATGTCCAGTGCTTTGTCCCTGGCGCAACAGCTGCAATCTAGCCTTGATGTGCGGGTTGGAAGGATCGAGCTCTGCAGCTCTTTGGTAGGCATCCAAGGCATCAGTGATCTGGTTGTTGCAACTCTCATACAGAGTGCCCAGATCATACCAAACCTCGCTGATGTACGGGTTCAATCTGATCGCCCGGGAGTAGGCATCGAGCGCATCACGGTACTGATTGATCTGGTAGTAGAGTACTCCGATAGAGCACCAGAAGGTTGGGTTTCGACCGTCTCGATAGACGGCCTGCTGGTATGCTTCGTAGGCCTTGGGATATTTCTGCTGGGACATGTAGCACCGACCGAGCAAGTACCAGCTTTGCGCATCGTTATTATCAGCGCTTACTGACTTCTCCAGATATTCAATGGCTCGCTCCTGGCTAGAGAAGCTGCTACTCTGCTGGTGGTGGAGCCAGCCAAGTTGTTGCAAGACCTTGGCGTGGTTGGGATCTCTCTCGAGGACTCTGCCGTATGCCGCTTTGGCGCTGTCATACTAAAATTCATGTCAGAAGCAGAACGAAGCATCTCTCTCAGATCAAGTACTTACATCTTTTTGCTGCTCGTGGACATGGCCAATCTGGAACCAAATGTCCTCCTCAGTCAGAGGCGGCGGCGGAGAAGTGACAATGTAGTTGAAGCACTGCACGGGTCAGCAATCGCCCAGCAATTATTACAGGCGCGGGAGTAGACTAACCTCAAGACTCTGTCCATACTTCTGTTGCTGCTTGTATATAATACCAAGTCGAAAGTAGATTTCATTGGCCTTCTCAAAATCAGGCTGCATTTGCATGACTTGAGAAAACGCCTCTTCGGCGTGCTCCAGGGAGCCATATCGATCATACAGGATACCTATGCCGTACCAAAGCTTGGGCTCCTTGGGGTTTTGGAGGTTGACCAATGCTGACTGGTAAGCGGCATATGCCTGTTGCAGGTCATCCATCATGAGGTAGCAATGACCTAAGCGCGCAAGGTTAGACACGAGACGGAAACCCATTAGGTTGAAAATGGCTAAACATACCGAGACTGCCCCAGACTTCGCCGTTTCTTTCATCAATCTTCAGTATGGCTTGCAGAAACTCGACTGCCTTGTGGAACTCCTCGCGAGTGCGAAGAATCAAGCTGATCGCATTCATGGCGGGAACGGAGTTCGGGTTCGCCCGGAGGGCATGCTCGTAGGCATTCATGGCATCGTCAAGGCTACCTAGAAGCTCGGAGAAGCTTCCTTTACGAGGCATTAGTATTGCGCATTATGAAGCGACTGTTGTGTCTGGTGCGCGAGACTTACCAATTTGCAACCACAAAAGCTCATTGACAGTGCTGATTTGCCTTGAAGGGGCAGGTTGTGGTTGTGCAGGGGGGTAATGAGCAGCGCCTGGGGGCGGTGGCCCTTGGGGACCGTGATGCATTTGCATAGGCATCTGCGGTGAGGGATGGTGGTTCGCCATGATCGCCAAGTCCTATTTATTGGGGCTGATACAGACACAACTGCAAGACTGCTGAAAGATGCGACGAGATGCAAGTGAGGCGGGAGAAACCAAAATCGACCACTATCAATAGTGGAAGCGGCACCTGCACTTTGTTTTTTGAAGAGAGTTGTAGTGGACCGAAGGTACACTTTTACAAATATCTCCAAATATGGGGGATGGGTGAGGGCGTTTTGATACTCTCTTTTTTTTCCGCCAGCGCCAGGCAAAAAGGACAGTTGTATTACAGCAAAAGTGAATACAAAACTACAGATCCTTTCAATCGCGGGCAATAATCTAGTGTACGACGTCTGGATGTCTATGCGTCGCAAGGGCCCTTCGGATTGAAGGTCGCGACGAGGAAGACGAAAAGTGACGTGACTGGCGCGTAGACGAGAAAGACTCGTGTTGGCCGAGAATAAGAAGAATAGATGAAGTATAGCGTCGACGGGAAGAAAAAGGCAAAGGAAGTGGCCAGAGAAGACTAGGAGATGGTCAAGACTGATGGCAGTTTCTGACCCTCGCCAGGCTTGCGGTTCTGATGGGCGTGGGAGAGGAGGAAGTGTTGAGGAGAGACGAACGAACGGGTTTGGCGAGGGAATTCGGGAAGGGGACGCAGAATAATTCTCCTCTTCTCAAACTACCCTAACCCACGACGACCGCGAGAGGAACAAGCTGGGATTTGGCGTAATTGACGGTGGAGCCTATGCGCAAGAGTGTCCAGGGACGAGGACAAGCTTGGCCAGCGCGATCCCGTAACGGCTCAGTAGCTGCCAAGTACCACGCTAGCACCGCTAGTCGGCTTGAGCGGGTTTGCGGGGCCGGTTCTTTTTGTACCTTACCTGCCCTTGCCTCACATAAGATGGCAGATTCAACAGAGCAGCCAGCCAACCACCAACCAGCTCGATGCAGCACTTTACTTACCTTACAGAGGTAGGGCCGAGGGTGGTACGTGCGTCCCCCAATGTGTCTGTCACGACAAACTCTCCTCTTTCTCTTTCTCTGTGCGTACATGTGTGACCGTCACCAGCCAACGCCGCACACAGGCAGTGTAGTAACGCTAGATAAACCTTCCATCACAGCTTCAGGTTCAGGTCGCCTCCAGTCTGTCCACCGTACTTTTTACTCCTTCTTACACTATCAGATGCTTTCAAATCCACGAGGTACATTGGGAGGAAAGCACACACTACAAAACGCTTTGGCAAACTTTTACTTACCAATGTAATGTATACCACTTTCACCATTGCCCACAGCTGAATAGATTACCTAGTGGACGAAAAATGCTAGAGAAGAAGAAGAAAAAATTCGGCACGAGCAAGATCTACAACGAGACGATCTCGTCACAGTGAAGAGTATGTTTGAGCCACCCTGCTTGATTAAGGATGAGGAGGCTGGCAAGTCACGTACTCTTCAACGGTTCTACCCAAAATACACTACATGCATACCTTGGCGGCATGTCGAACCTGATCAAACTACAATGCATCTTTGGCCACAGTCTTAAAGCAATTCAGCCTTTGTACCGACAGCAACTCAGGCTTTCAAGGTCTGCATACTTTTTTCTCAATGTGCATACAGCTTTGCAGTCCGGAGATAGTGTCGTTCTGCCTGCTCTAGCATGAGTCGAGTCGCATCCAAGGCTGACAGCAACCAACTGCAGTGACGTGACGGCGCTACACAATTTCAGTGGGCGGAAATGACCGCAGCAATCCTGGGGTGACGGAGTTATTTGGACGTCTTGTGGATGGGAGCAGGGCCCGTGGTCTGTGTTCGGTACCTCGCCGCCAGTCTGGGATGCAAGGCCCTGGGGATCCAGACTGGAGAAGACGAGGGGAGCCGATACTTCACCAGTACTTCTGTCGACGAGCCCTGCTGCAGCCGCCATGTTCCCGAGACAGACTCCAAATTTGGTCCTTGGCCGGCCTGTGTGGCAACCCTCCCCACCCAAAGCCAGCCCGCTCTCAGCGGCAACGTGAGGTCAGGGCCTAACCTAGCCGGTACGTATCTCCCTTGACTAAGTTCCGGTGGCCACCCCAGTTCCAATGCGGTTCCCAATGGCCATACAGAATGGTTTAGGGTGCAGCGATCGTTTGTTTGGTAAGCCTCCGGGGTGCTAGTGGACGCCAGGATCTGGGCCCGAGCCAAGCCAGGAGCCTTGAAGCCCTCTTGGCCCTTTGCTGCCGGGCCAGCCAAGCATGACACACCCTTTTTGTGCTATCCGTCAGCCTACCCGCCTTAGCAAGCAGCCAGCAGCCAGCAGCCCGTTCCAAATCGACAAGAGCCAAAAAAGCCCATATGGGACTTTACCTAGCTGGAGCAGGACCAGCAGGAGCTGGAGCCAGCGCCGAGCCAGCCAACCAGTCAGGCCCAAGTGCCAGGGGCCAAATATCCCAGCCCATATCCCCAAAGCTGGCGTCCTATTTAATTTGAGGCATACGCTTATCTTGCTCGGAGCATTTGTCCTGATGGAAAAGCGAACCGTCTCACAGATAGCCCAGAGACACGACAGCTCAACTTTTCACTGACCACGCCACTCTAGTACAGTACACACTTTTTTTTTTTGGGCACCCTGTCTCCCAGCCACTTGCATATCTCCCACATTCAGGCTTGATCGTGCTGCAGTTGATTTAATCCATCAACAGTACAGCTGGCTGCTGGCTGGCTCATCTATCGTGGAGCTTGGTCCTTCCCTCACAACCGAAATATTAGCGAGCAGATCTCGACTTGGCCAGTCCCGCGATGCAAGGCCATATTTTGTATATCAATCGCATGGAGATGATAGCCATTGGTTCCTGCAGTGGCCACAGCAGGACACTGCGAAAAGCTTGATCGAAAACTATTTCCGTACGTAGGCACTTCCTCTGCTCTTGTGCTGACAGGATTGCCGCGTGCAGCTTGGCATTCTAGGTGGGTAGGCGAACGTCACGTTGAATTATGCCCCAACGTACACAGCGCCCACATCTACGATTAAAACCAGTGACTGTGTCAGTCAGCCAAACCCTACCCAGAGCAGACTTGCCGCAAACGAGATGCAGTAGCATGAGGGATGGAGGCTACAAATTTACATATTTATGTACTACGCACTTCACCAGGCCTTCGTACCTGACGACTTCTACAAATGGTCTCTATAAAACAAAACAGGCGCATCTTGCGACGGCGTTGCATACCAATTGCGGGCCAATATGGTGCACTGTCACCGCTCTCGTGGACGATTTGGCGGCGTCCTTGTGGGCCATTCGTATCAAATGAGCCGCCATTGCCGGGCCACTCGCCAGCCTGTAGATCTTCCGGGCGATTCACACGCAAGGAACATTGCTCTGAAATTCACCGTTTGGCCTCAACTCTGTTCCCGCGTCCCTGGGCGAGGAAAACATTCATCCCATGTTTCAATCCCACTAAGCGCCTCAGACACGAAATGCATGTTTCATACGGCGATAGAGGTCCCTCGCTCCGATTGCACTTGGCATCAACTATATCGAGGAATCAATTATACGTCAATTCTGCATGATGTTGTCAAACCAAAGGTTCGATTTTGACAACAAAGGCACATTTTTGACAGCTCATGTTCCACTTCAGTATCATAGTGCCCAAACCGATCCATTGATTAGGTGCAAAGTTTTTGCATTCGACAGTTTCTTGTCAAGGGATCAAAGGTCACAATGTTCCGATAATATACCTTAATAAATATGCGTTGGTTATGGCTGCTGGTCGTAAATCATCAGCCATACCATGCCCATCTAGGTAGCTACCTTAGCTAGTCCTGTCTCTCGTGTTTTAACTTTTACCACGTGCTAAGTAGATCCCGCAAGTCAGTCTGGGGTCGCGCAGCAAGCAAAACAGCGTCATCGATTATGGCAGAGGTGTCTCAATCAAATTTGGATTGATTGTTTCATAAGCTGCCCAATTCTATGTGACAAACGGTTAGATTCTGCGTGTGTGCAGACAGATTACCTGAGAACTTGGCCCGCCCAGCGCCCAGCGAGATCTCAGCCACAACAGAACGAAAGACAGCCTCAAATCCTGGAGGACTCGGGTAGGAAGAAGCACAAGCCTTCATCTCAGCACAATAAGCAATGCCCGTCAACACCTGCGCTCCGATCCAGATCACCTACGTGAGGCTCTAGTGTGATCTGATTCCGGCTTGTGGGTTCAGCAGACCTGCTGCATAGGTCTCGACCATTACACTCCAGTACATCGATTGCGGCGATATATGATATTGCATTTCTGTCGCGTATCATGCCACCCAGCAGGGAGGTGGCAGGTCCTTATAACGTCGGCGGAAGAGAAGCCGCTGCATCGAGTCACATCTGGCAAAGGAACTTAACATTATGAGTAACAATACCCGCAGCAAAAAGGATAAGACGAAAGGACAATCACGAGGCTAGTCCAGATCTGTATGCAGTTTGCATCTCTTGTGTGCCAGCGAAGGAAGGTCTGGAGAACGGACGGATCTCTGCCAATCTGTCCCGCGGGCGCTGACTGGCCGGCCGGGGCTGGGCGCACATACGCATACCAACCTACAGATGCACATCCTACTTACTACCTTCTGTATGGTATATGAATGAGCAGACGACAGATTCGTTTCTGTAATGTCGTGTACGTACTGCATCTCGCGCATATGCAGACCGTTGGCGCATTTGGGAAGCAGGCATACGACATACTGCCACACCCTCAGCAGTCTTCTACCACATAGTATCACTACCAGACGTGCATATTACATACAGTACGTATCGCCGCCGCCGCCATCATCCCTCACCCACCACCCACAGGCTTCCGCATGTATCCCCCCCTGCACATGCTTCGGGTGGGGGGGGGGGGGGGGGACCAGGACATAAGGAGCAGTCAAAGTCACATTCGGTACGTCTCGGTCATCATTGTGTGGGTGACGTGCCAGACCAAGTGAGAAAGAGGGTTCGGCAACCTTTTTAAGCTCCACCCACACCAGAACCTAACCCAACACAACACAAATTACCCAACTGCCACCCTGTCTGGTGTTTTGCCTGTCCACTCTTGTCCACTCTCTTTTTGCCCGCTTTTTCTTCTCCCTGCTGTGGCCGATCAGCCGGGATCTCCTGTAGTGCACTGTGTAGGCGACGGCGGTAGCCATATCTGTACATACTAGCCTAGCCACGATGGCCCCCCCATCATTATCATCCCCCTGTGCTTGTGATACCGTAGCACTCGGGGTCAATTGCAATCGCCGGCTCTTTCGTCGTAGTACATCACTAGCCAGTGCGCCCCGTTGCATTGCCCTTCGGGTGTGGGCGAATGAATAGTCTAGGTGTGGCGGCCCGGGAGAGAGAGGCCACTGGTCTCTGGCGCGCGCAAGGGAGGGAGGAGACAGAGAGAGAGGCAGTGGAATGATCCCAGCGCAAGCCACAGATGGTGGATATATGGCTTTGTACAAAGTACACATTGTGCTCATTCTTCCACTTACATTCTAGGCGTGTCAGATGAGCTGTGTCCTTTTACTATTCCCGCAAAGAAGGAGGGGTGTGCGCCAAGGACAAACGAATCAGTTCGTTTGAACCGATGGCCTTGGCATCAAAGCCTCATTAAGAAGCCACGAGGAATAGGGACAAATCGGTCGCGGCTCGGTGTGGATCATTCTACACTAACTCTGCGATTTACTTGCACTATTGTGCCGTCTTGTGCTGTATGGATATGTATGGTGTAGTAATCCGCTACACGCCGTCAATTGACATCAACAAGGGGTTGTACACAGTAGCATTCTCGACTCTCTATAATGTATGCTTCTGGTCATGGAATGCATTAGGCAGGGGTCACTAGCTAGCCATGGAGGAGAAGTCGATGATATGGATCTCTCTCTCGCAGGTGAGATGGAAGCTCGAGATCAACATCAGCTTGACTCAAAGATTATGTACCCTAATCACAATATGTAAATGCACTGCCCGTTACCTACATACGGAATATATAATACAAGGTGACATGGTGCCGCACCCTCCTGTCATTATGCGGCACTTGGGGGCCTCGCTAAACCAGCATGGGAAAATGATGGGTTCAAGCGCTTGAAACAACCCTATGTTATTTTAGGCAGGCCTGCAGCTGGCGAGCCGAAGAAAGATTCTGCATTTGCAAACTACGTAGTACTGATTCATGCGCATGTGCAAATCCCGAGACGAGGCGGGTGATGATGAAGAAATAGACCAACCTGATAATAATATATATAGACTAGGTCTTTTATTTCTCCTTTTGTATGCTTTGATTCTTTTGATGGGGAAAATAACAGCAATCCATATACGAACGAGCTACACTCGAAAATAAGGCCTCGACCTCAAACTGCAGAAAAAGGAAACAATTAACAATTGGCGGAGGAAAATCCGTCCTAAAACAACCAGCATCTTTTTAGAGTCTCCATTTCTTTTAGTGGAGGTGCAAGGACAGACCAAAAACAGAGTGATGTGGTGGCCCGCTCAAACTGCCCGCCTAATCATTCCGACTGGAGCGATGGTGTGCATACGGCAATACGGGTAAGGGAGCTTGAGGAGAAAGGTGAGGTAAAAAGGCGAGGCAAGGTAGAAAATCCTGGCCTGGGAACCATTGGGAATTCGAGCTTCTCTCTGGTTACCCCATTGAGGAGCTCAGGAATTTTTGAGGGAAGGGGTTAAAAAAAAAAAAGTGTATCCCCCAAACCCACAGTTTTCCTTTCCTTGACATGCTGACCGACCGATCAACCGGCCGAGCACACCGAATAAACCCGGTAGGAAAAACAAACATTTGCATGAACGGCCGATCGTTGGAGGAATAAGAGAGAGAGAAAGAGAAAAAAGATCAACGTCTCCATACAAGATACGTTTATCTGAACTAGACAGTCAAGACAGTACACCAAAATCATGTATCGCTCCCCACTTGCGTCATTCCGTGGACACTGCATTACCCGTGCGGCCGGTCCTTGGACAGCCAGATGTTTGGATATTGATCTCTTCAACGCATTCGGTATACATCCTATCTCATCGGGGCTCCTTGTAACCAGACACACGAAAATTAATGACTGCGCTGACAGGCAGCCACCTCCTTGACACACTTGACTCACTTTCTTTTCCCCCCTCCCCTTGTGCAACCCCGTCTGAGATTTTTTGAGGCGAGAAACGTTGAACATTTGTACACACCAAAGCGTGTGTTCGTAGGTATATATGTGTGTCATTTCTGACCTTGCACATGACGTTTAATACCGAGATAGGTACGAGGATATATATGTAGGCGGAGAAAAAGCACGGCTTCTTTTGCAGAATGTTTAATATACAAATAGTCGTTCCTGTTGTGGTACTGCTACTGACCGACCGTGGGCTTTCATGCTGTACGACATCAGATGGGCAAAGAGTAAAAATACCTGGATCTGCCAATGCCAAATAGTTTACCAAGATCAATATCTGCATCAGGTCAGCCTCCCCAAGGATAATGACCTGATATCTTATCAATTCGTATAAAGAAGTTAAACCGACCATTCTAGAACCGCGAGTCGCTCGAATCGGCAGCTGCAGTGATTTGAAAAAGGCAATGGCGGAAGGAAATAGCCCCAGCAAGACCAAGCAAAAGAAAAAAAGTATATCAAGGTTGCTATCGGCGAGCTTTTTTGCTTATTCTCTTCCCACCTTGGGACTTTTCTTTTTCCATCCTCTCATCTCATCCGTTTTCTGCGGAACATTGAATACTTAGTAGCCACCATGTGCGTGCGGGACCTTTGGTATGAGGCTCACGCAAGAAACAAGTGGAAGAGAAGAAGAAAAAAGAAACACAGACCGATCTCAGGTTCTCAGGTGGAAAAAAAAAAAAAAAAGTGGCTCAAAGATGTTTCGGAAATTTTCCATTCCACAGTCTGATCGAGAACGCCCCCAGATTCGAACCGGACTGAACAGTCCTTCATCACCCCCATCGCCTCCTATTGTCCAAACGCCACAGCTATACTGGTACATTTGAGTATAAATCATGAGCCTACTTATGGTCGAGCAGCAGTAGCATCACGCATCCACAAACAGCACCATTTATCTGAAACCTAAGCTATGAATTCACATCTCCGGCGGTTGAAAGGATTTCTAAAAACAAGGACGTGATCATGATCTCATATAGGACTGACTACCTATAAAGCAGCAAACATGCTACCTGGATTACGGCGTATTCCGACCTTCAACTGGGAAAACAGTTGCTGGTGCAAGCCCCTCGAGCATGTCTTTCATACATTCAGTATCTGCACAGCTTTATCCTGGTTGGCCAGAACAGCCGGGCCTGACACACACAAGTAGCCTGTCTCAAAATCCCCTTTACATCTTGGCCTGGGGCAATCATAAGCCTGAATCATTCCTGAACTTCCGTCGCTAAAACCATTGGAATCATTTGACTTCGCTCTCTGCCATATCCGATTAGGAAACAAGTCGTACCTTTCTAACGTACTCCATGCTGAAATGCTGACATTATAATACATGAGACAAAAAGGTTCTCATCCCGGCGTCATCATCATATACGCCTCTTTGGCTACTTTCTCGTACTCTCATGCTCCGTCCTTGTCGTGATGATCTTGATCCGGAACGTAGTTTGTCTCTCCTAGCATGGCCGTGGGCTCTGAAGTCATCGCAGTCTGGGCACTAGTCTGTGGTTGAGTCGAGACGGTCGGTCCATTGATGTGACTGGGAGGCTGAGATTGACTGCGAGGAGCACCGGTCGCAGCATGTAATCTCTGGTCCAGTGCCTTGAGCGCAAGCGCTCTCCGTCGCTCGGCCTCAGCTCGAACACCTCCTGGAGCTCCCCGAGGCAGGTAGTTGTTGCCTTGAGCAGCCGATAGCTCTGCTTGGGAGAATGGTGTGCAGACCTTCATGGCAACCAGGACATTGAAAACCTGCTCTGTAAAGGCAGCAACAACTGGCTTGGCTGGGCCGGGGAAGAACTCGGAAAAGGCAAATGTCTCGCTGGCATCGCCTCGTAATGCGGTCGGTTGCGACGAGTCGAGATCGGGGAAAACGGTCTTGTAGAATCGCAAGTACGTCCAGCTGGTCAACAGTCCAAAAATGGCCAGTAGGAGCGAGGCAACCGTGAGAATAGGAGTCATGGTCAGAATCGTGACCACGGCGAGATGGAGCAGCGGAAATCTTGGCACGCGCATGGACAAGATACCGCGGAACAGAGTGACTGTGTGGGCTGGTACGAGCTGGCTGAAGGCCACGAGGAAGGACATTTGCAGCGATATCGTGCCAGAGACGGTGGTGAGCCTTGATCATGTCGCGTAATTAGCAAAAAGATCACATGAAAAAGTACATTCGAGATATAGCATCTCGGACGCAACTGCAAGAGTCCAACTCACGTCCAACGCTCATTCCGTGTAAGCGTAAACATCATGACCAGAAACAAGAAGCTGAGGGCATTGGGTATCAAGGCGGTGACCAGCAGGAACTTTGCAAATTCCCTTGACGACCAAGCTCTCTCAAGGTAACGCCCACCCTGAAAAATGGTCATGCCGGCAATGCCCAATGTGAAAATGTTGTTCTCTACCAGGGTCGTCGTGACAAAGACCCAAGGATAAAAAAGCGACAGCTGGGGCACCAGCGTGAGCCATTCGACGACGATCTCCGAGTTGGCGGACCATTGTCGATAGCGGACGGCAGCACTCAGGATCGACTGCAACAGCAAGGCGATGAGCAACACTCGGGTGACGGGCGGGATGTTTATTCGAGGAGGCATGGCGAAAGAAGATCGCTCGTTCGGCTGTAGACGCGCTCAGGACTGCAGTCTGTCTGCTTTCTTACGTATGCTTCAAAGTAATTTTTTTTTTCCGGGGGTCCAGACAGCAAGCAAGCTGCAACCAGACGTCGGTCGGTATTGGACACGGTTCTGGGTCGCGCGCCTAGGTATGTAGGAACGGGTAAGTAGGTTAGGTAAGGATCTCACTGACGCCTGATGTGGCTTGGCGAGCTTGGAATTAAGGTAGGTCGGCTACCTACGTAGTACAGATTACACGTGTGGAGAGATGCATGAGCCACAGTCAAGCCACAACTCCCCTGACCCGCACGTTGTAGTATGTAGGATACATGCAAGCAGATGCCCGCTCAACTGAGGAAAAGGGCGATTTTAAGAATGTTGATGATTGAGACATTGACGATTTCTGAGGATGAGACTGAGACCCGACCAGGCCAGGTACAAGTAGGTCATTGTTATGTCTCTCCTCCGCCAAGGCACAGTTTTGCTAGACTCCACACGTCGCTCTCGAAGCTCAAGCTACGTACATGCAGCACATGGATGCTTCAGCAGCAACCTTCGGATTCCTCTCTACCATTCGTGTTGATCATGGGAGTGGTAAATCTACCGGGTTGGAGAAGCCATGCTTCCAGTGTTTCTTACTCGAAAACAGCTGCCAAGCTGCCATCTTCTTTGTACAGAATCCTGTCACTGTGTGCCTTGAATCCCAATCACATTTCTGTGGGAGAGAAGAGAACGAAGGGGATGATGGATGGTGAGGCGCTAAACCCTCTCGAGAATGAGCCGCCGGTTGGACCACGATCACCTGCTGCAAATCTGGCCGCCGATCACGAACCTGGCATGTTTCTGTTTTGACGAAATGCGGGACAGCCTCCGTTGCGTGGTACCTGGCAAAGGCCCAGCCTCCGGCCTTTCAAATGCAGCAACTGTGGCGTCTTGTGGAATTGTCAACAATTTTTCACAGCTTTGGTTCGCACGCTGCATCGGCAATACCCAAAAAGCCCATCAGTATTCAAAAGCCGATATCAGAGAAGAGGAAGAAAAGGTCTGCGTTGGTACATATCTATTAGCGCTTTGCCCCTGCGCGTCGCCCGGATGGCGGTTGAGATCTTGAATCTCGCCTCCGACTTCTCAGCCCAGCAACCCAGTCAGTGCAACAGCTCAGTGCTACTATGTACAGCCTGCACCACAACTGCCCAGTGCCTGCTGCTTGCTTACTTTATGCTTGATCCAATCTCTTTGCCGAAGTGGCCCCCCGGATGGTTGGTGGTGTGGGACGGACCCCCTTGTTGTCTGTCGACATGGCGCCGCCAAGGCTAGACAGGCTTCGACAGGCCATAGGCGAGCTAAGCAAATGCTAAGGGCCCTGACGAACTCGCCGTGATCTGTCTCCATTGTTCCAGCAAAATCAAACGAACCCCACGGAGCGGAGAGAAAGGGTCACAAAACGTCCGTGGTGCACAGGCTTGTACCCCCCCAAAAAAGAGGCTCCCTTTGAGATAGGGTCAAGAGTGAAATCAGGCAGAGTCTGGAGCGAAATCAATCAGGAGACCTTCAAGACGTTCATCCCTCTAGTGACATGCTGTAACCTGTGTTTTCTATACCCACATAATCAATCGACTTGGATGATAACGACAAATGCCTGATATGGGTGACGGGGAGAGCGTTCCTCGCACCTAGGTGAGAAAATGCAACGCTGAAACTGAAAGCTGGTTACGTCGAGGGACCCATCGTGCAGTCTTGCTTCTCCGCCCGTGTTCTGCAGCATTCTGTGTCTCGATGAGACGAACTGTCAAGGTTGTCGAGTTGGCAGAATGAGGCACCCTCTGGTATCGCTTCATCATACTTCTGTATCTCTCAATTTCCTAGCAACCTGAAGAAGCTGAAATCAATTCTCGTGCATGGATGACGACGCTGCTCCCATTTGAATTGATGAATGCGCTTAAGCAACGAAAGGGTGGGACAGTCGGATACTTTGTACCAAACAGATTCGAGGTACCTCCACACCAAGCGTCTTCCTCTAGCTGGGACCCTACACTAGGGGGGAAGGATCAATGTGTCAGTTTTGGCCCAGACTGCCGAACCTTGATCGAAAGAAAATCCAGTGAAGGAGGAAGAAGACATCGGGCTGAAGGATGCGGTCCAAGTCAGTCTTCCAATCTGGATATCCCCGGCTAACCCTCCCCATTGGGATGGTTGAGTAGCATCTCGAACCACAATGCGAATCAATCTTTTTCCAGTCTGGTTCGTACCTACACAGTATGTAGGGTTGGGTGATGTAGTGTACGTACATGAGGTAGACAATGAAAACTGCTTACTGCACATGGCCTCCTCAGACAAGAGGCACACACACAGTACGTACCGTCATAGTCTGGGTACTCTTAGCTAAATGTCAGGGATCTCGTCACTTCGGCTGTACCTCCAGTCGCACCGATCCATCCATTTGCCATTCTCCCGTTGACACCAAGCAAGTCCAAGGTCGGCTGGCGAAAGTTTTTAGATGATGAAGCTCTGCTGCTAACGACGACATGGGCAAAGCGGCGGGCGCTGGTCTCTTTTTCTTGAGCGCGGTCGCCTCACTCGAGTCCCCAGTTATGTAGGTAGTGTAGTCATGTTGAATCGTCTTTTCTTTCGACTATGCCCATGCCGGCGGCGCTCAAGAAAGGTGAGCCAGCACGCTTTTTTGAGGCCCGAGGGTTCAAGTTCTGTTTCCTGGGAGCGGGTACCAGAGTACATGGCACGCTTTCGCTGCAGTTACCAGTACCGTTTAATGGGTTGCGCTAGGCCTCTTGTAGCGCGACTGGGAAGCCAAGCAATGGCAGCACCTTGATCGACCTCCACGGGCGCCTTAAACTTTCCTCCCTCACTCATGTAGTATTCCTCTTGTTTTCAACATCTTCAAATCACGACGTTGACACACCTATCTCTTTGCCCCATCCGACGGGCAGACTTTCGGCGCACCTTTGATCTCATACACGTCCAAGGCCCGGATCTGAATTCCGTCCCGTCCAAGTACCGGCACGACGCCGAAGGCCCATCATGAAGGAGTACCTCGACTCTGACCGAGTCAATTTTCTAGTTTGGAGGTACGTTTTTGACCCGTCCCCCAAGAGGCGCTGCCCAAAAAAATGCAACCCCCCAAAAAACCACACCGTCTTGCCCGTATCCGCGCGCTGCAAAACGGCAAGGAATCCAGTATTGACATGTCCATTTCTAGATATCTTTTAGAAGGCAGTAAGTTGAGAGTTTGGAGTTGAAAAGGGAGCACGGCAGGCCGGTTTTTTTTCTGTGCTGCTGGGCAGGCAGCGCCGTGGCCCCCAGCACAGATCATTGCCGGTGCACATGCTGCTGTGGATTTCCGTGACCCAAAACTAACCGGACTCTTGCAGATTATCGAGAGACAGCGGTCAAATTTCAGAAAGAGTGGCACAAGACAGAACCGCATCGCCAGCTCGACTTTGCACGTCATGTCAAGAGCCATGCCTTGATAAATGTTCTGAATAAAGGTCTACTTTACAATTCGCTCGAAAGGGACTTTGCCCATTCACAACAACAAACGCAGCAGCAGCCACTGCAGCTACGGGTAAGTGGTGCCTCGCCAATCTCTCTCTCTAATCTACTCGCGCTTCCGCTAGCCAGAAAAAAATAATACGGGCTCGGCGCTGGTCGCATTTTGCAGTAGGAAATGGATTTAGACATGCTGCAGACAAACGACCTGTCACGAGATTTTCATGCACATGAAAATTTATGAGATTCAAGGTGCTGACATTTCACTGTGATTGCTTCAGGAGAAAGAAAATGCAGCGGCAGTGGCCGAGGTGCCGCAAGTAGGGGTGTTTGGTCCGCTAGTTGCGCCTCCACCTCATCCTGGGCCTGCAGCTGGTATTACTGCTGGAGCTGGAGATGGACAGACCGAAGTCAAGGAGCACGACCCGGATGAGGATGCAGAGGGCGAAGAGGAGACGATTGAGGAGATTGAAAACTCACGAAAGCGTCAAATGGAAGGGTCACAACAGGCGCTCGTCAATGGCGGCGGCGGCGGTTCACCAACCAAGCGTCCCCGGCTGAGCAATGGCTACGAAAATGGTGTTGGTGTGGATGCAGCTACGGACCCCATGGAACTCGATGGCCAGCACGGCGGCGACAACCACGCTTACCCGTCCCCCCTGGAAGGCGAACAAGCGCCGACCCCGATCCCGCGTACTGACGGCCCAGAGCAAGGCACGCAGGTCGAAAAGGTGCAGGAACTCACTACCGAGACCATCTTCATTCCCCTGAGCGCTGAAGACGCCTCCGTCTCATCTCCATCGCTGACCACAGCAGCGCCCCGAGGGGGAGTCAATGGCGAGAACGCGCCTGTTTTGCTGCATTGCCAGTGGAACCCCAAGGACCCAACCATCTTGGCGGCTGGTGGGACCGATGCACTAGCACGCATTTGGACCGTCTCGCGTGCGACAACCGCCGCCGACCAGCACCAGGACCCTGCATCCAATCACGTGAACGGCACCATCCCACCCTTCCACAGCCTGATAATGGACGGCATCAGCCACAGGGCAAATGTTACTGCCATGGCCTGGAGTTGGGACGGCAAGTCTATTGCCGTCGCGACTGATGCCGACGGAAAAGGCAAGATTAGCGTCTGGGACGTCCATGGCAGTCTTGTACATCACTACGAGGTGCCCGAAGCTCCTGTCATCAAACTCCGTTGGAGTCCAAACGATACTTCGATATTGGCCGTCTCGCCTGAGGGCAATGACGCTCTCATTACCGTCTATCCCATCACGGCCTTGAGCACAATGTCCTATGTCGTCAAGGACCACAACACGATGCTCGACGTCGCTTGGGTGAACGAGAACGATTTTGTCATTGCCGGTGGGCAACTATTGAAGTGCCTAACGTGCGACGACACGAGCGGCTCGATCGACATCAAAAATTCATATGAACCACGGGAGGGCGACAATTTGACGCAGGTGCATTTCGATTGGCGGACATCATTAGCTGCCACGTGTGGAGACCAGGGTTTTGTCGAGGTAAGACGGCCATTTATAGAACACCACTGGATATGAATGCTGACAGTCGCAAAAAGATATGGGACTCGACGGGTCGTCAACGTGAAATCCGAACTCATGACGGAGTTATCACCGCACTTGCTTGGCAACCACTACAAACTTCACCTCCTGATGACGAGCGGCTTATCGCATCCGCCGGTGAAGACGGCGCAATTTTCATCTGGAATGCTCGATCCACCGACGGCAAGCCCAAGTGCTCAATGACTATGGGAGACCCAATTGTCGCCCTTTCATTTACTCCTGATGGAGCATTCATTGCCGGCGCAACACACGATAAGATCTTGATCTGGAAAGTAGGCGATCACAGCATACCAAGAGCGAGCTGGGAACGCATACCACATCCTTCAAGTCCACGGCTACAATCTGAGACAGATGAGGAAGATGAGCATTGCCTTTCCTGGGATGCGACAGGCCAAAGGCTTGCATTTGGTGTCAATAGTCGGGTAAGTTATCAATCGCCTGTGAGTTTTCCATGCAGGATGTGCTAACCATTCGTCAGCTTGCCATCATAAACTTCCGGTGACCGTGTTCCTTTCATTTGTCCTGGCCATTTTCAAAGACAACATTTTTGGATCAAACCGAGCGAAATCCTCATCAAGCGGTACTTCAACCTTGGACGAATCTATCACAAATCAGGCAAAGTCATTTGCTCTCATACTGAGCGGGTGCTCGGTAACAACATGTAAGGTCATTATATCAAACCGACAAGAGGTCGAGTACCAGCACCATGTCCCTAAGCCTTGATCGCCCGCGTTTATGGCGCACATTTTTACAATACCCAGTCTAGAAGACGGAGAAAAGTCAAGCTATACTTGACGCAACTGGCATGGGCCAGCCAGTGTTTTGAGAGCAGGCGCGTCCATTCCACCTGTGGATGTCGCAGTGGCACGGAAAGGATGTAAGAAACGATGCATAGGACAGACTTCGCCCTATACACAAGAAAGCACTTGGGTATACTCTCAAAGTGTCTGCTCACATTGTATCATTATTGGTAGCATCGTTGAAAGCCGGGAATAAAGACATGAATTGTCTACTGTACAAACAACGGCGTGGAGCATAGTGCCCTGGGGGCGGCGCTGGGTGATACCGGATAGCGTGGGTTATGAGGTCGTAGGGACATATCCGACTTTGAATACTGAATACTATCAATGTCTTGACTTAAAAACTCATGTGTTGAACTCATGGTGCACGTCTCATTGTTTGCCTCGTCGGCGTTCTTCACAGCTATGGGAGAGAACAGGAATCGTATACTGGTCCGATTCCGTTTGATCGTTGCTTTCTACAAACTCTTATATTCCCTTTGCACTTTTTAAACCCCAACTCTTTAATATTAATTCCTAGGATCAGCCAAGACCCAAACCAGCCACTCTCTTGCCCGATCAAGTCATTGCGGCGTGGGGTTTTCCATGCCTGGTTCGAGAATGTAGCGTTGGTCAGGAAGCCTCATGACATATCCTCCCCGACTGTAACGTGAAAATGAGCATTGTGGCCAAAATGATGCTTGTTGCTGCCTACGCGTGTCAGCAGATAGACAATTGAGTAGCAAAACCGGGCATCAATGGAAGCGAAACGGTACATCAACAAAGTAAAGCCATCCATGCATTCATGATAGATTGGATGGGAAGAAAATATGTGTACTCTTGGGTGTAGATATCCTCGAACCGCCAAGTACAGGAGGGACTTGTATATTTTCTTCAATGGTTGCCATGTGGAGAATCGGTCGATTTTCTGTATACACTACACGAGCTACTGCCTGAACAGATTATCCTATAGTGACAGAGAACGCAGAGAGCCGACGTATTGACCTGGCGAAACGTCTTTTCTACACTATCTGTCACCATTGGAGAGCCGCAAGGGCAATCTACGAGAAACAAATCTTATGGTGGCGGCTGACAATGTAACCAATACAGACATAACACCTTGAGCTTGGCGACATAATACCAGCTTAGTTTTGCAAGTTCTGGCCTCTTTCTCTAACCTCGTCAGCAGTCTTGTGTACCACATGGAATGAATGTACATAGATACCTTGGCTATGTGGAGTGTGACACTGGTCTTATACGTCCGGCCGGGCGGAACGGGCCCCCGATGTTCCCCGGGTACCTCGGCAGAAATTCCATCTTATGAATTGGTAATATATCCTTGTCACAGTGGTTGAATTGACCGAGTTCCAATTAAAAGACTAGATAGAACCCATATTTATCCCCTTCGTCTACGTTGTCTATTGAAAGTATACCAAATATTCATATACTTTCATTCGCGTGTCACATGCCCCGGATCCATTTGAACAAATTTTGAGTCATGGTAGGCAAATCGATTCTCGCTTTTTATTCATTCATTCTTATGAAACTTGCTAACAGTATCTAGTACCTCTATCGGCATCTTGCATAATGCATTCACGGGAGGTCTAATCCCACAGACCAAGGCGTATCGATTATCAAAAGTCGTGCTAAGCGCTTATTGATGACATGCTCCTATTCAATGTTATCTCGACATCCGATGTCTAGGCGGATTTTCTAAACCTGAGGCAATGTTAGTCTTTTGAATTGCATCACGAAGTCGCGAGAAACTTACTTCTGGACGACTCTCTCGATACCATCGCAACCCAGCTTCAGGGTCTCCATTCTGGGGCCATACGAGAAACGGACAACTGCGATAATGTTAGCAGATATCCATGTGTCGGCTTCTTGTTCAGACAGAGAAACTTACAGTGGTGGCAAGGACTGTCAAAGAGATCCCTACGTCTGGAGGGGTTCAGGTCGAAGAAGATACCTGGCACAACAATAACCTTCTCCTCCAAACAGGCCTGGAAGAAGTTGAGACCGTCGGAGATGGGGCCTGGCAGACCCTCGAGGTTGAGCCAGATGTAGAAGGTGCTGTCAGGCACGTACTTGATCACGAAACCCATGTCACGGAGACGCTTGATGACATAGTCGCGCTTGTCGCGGAAATGTCTCTGTAGCGCAACCATCTCCTTTTGCACGAGAGAAGGCTCAAGCATGGGAATGGCGGCCTCTTGGAAAGGAGCGTTGGCGCCACCATCGAGGTAAGAACCGCAGGAGCCGATACTAAGTTCATGGTTAGTCTCATGTGCTTGGAGCCACGACAGTCTTGCAACAGTGATGCAGCTATGGGAGGACAGCTTACGCCTTGATGAACTCCTTGGGACCCAGGATCCATGCGATACGCCAGCCAGGCAGGCGGAAGCGCTTGGTGAGACCATCAATAATCAGGACATCGTCCTCGTCAACATCCTCGACGTTCTCGGCAGCAGAAATGGTGGTACCGTCGCAGTTACTGGTGTAGTTGTATCCAGAGTAGAACTCGTCGCTGATCAGGGTAGCTCTGCCTCTGCAAAGGTCTTGAATTTCGGTCAACTCAGGGTTGGCCACGACACGACCGGTCGGGTTTCTGGGGTTCGATGTCAGAATGACAGAGGTTCCACGAGCAATCTCGGCAGCAATGATGTCGGGGTGGATGTGGTAGCCGTCCTCCTCGCTCAAGGGGGTGGGAATGGCGGCAAAGTTCTTGAACAGAGACAACATCTCGTTGTAGGCTGTGTAGTCGGGAATGAAGAAACCGACGTAGGCGTTGTTCAAGACGGCAGCGATACGGATCAGACCAGCACGACCACCAGGGACGATGGCCACGTTCTCCCATGTGTATTGCGACTCCTTGCCCTGGCGGTGCATCTCGTTGTACATGTGTGCGACAGCCTCACGGAGGGGCTTGATACCGGCAGTCGGACCGTACTCGCGGGCAGCAGTGGTAACGTCAATGGTGGAAGGGCGCTGGAAGCAGCCCTCGATATCGTCCTCGACCTCGGGGGCGCCTTGGCCCAGGTTTGCCCACTTCTCGGGCTCCTCGAGGAAGCCATATTCGCTGGCACGCTCAGTACACCAGACTACACCGGTGGAAGCTCTGGTGGCATCGAGACCGGCGTGGGGAAGATGACCCTCGTGGGCAGCACGGAACTGACGATGGATCTTGGAGCTGGTCTCTGTGCAGGTGAAGAAGTCGTTAGCCCACGGTTCGTTTTTCCCAAGTTCACTGTCATTGTTCCATGCCAAGGCGTGTTGCAGTATAGCTTGTCATGCATAAATTGCTTATTGACCCGCATTTGCCAAGATTGTTGAAGACAAGCGGTATTGTCAACTTGTAGTGGTAGAGTTTGTCTGACAGGAAATAGAGTTGAAAAGGCAGATTGGCTATCACCCGCAAACCAACGTTGCGAGGGACATTAGGCATGCATGGGAGGGAGGAAAGCAAATTGGGCTGAAAGCAGTTAGGGAGACGGGTTGGGAGATTGATTATACCTTGAGCGCCAGTCTCGCCGATACTGAAACGACGAGCAGGACGGGGCACACCCGTGTTGCGGTTCATGGAGAACTTTCTGGCGTTGAAAGACATCTTGGGCGAATTTTGTTGTCGTTGCTCTAAAATGACGAGATGCCAACTGGGGGAGGAAAAAATAAGATGCTACAGGGAAGTACTGTAGTAGTGAAGGGCACAGCTGTAGTATTTATTCAGTGCAGATCAGATGGGCTGGAGGCAGCCAAAAAATGATGCGATGGATGTATGGATGTAGCACACTTCAACTTCAGCACGGGCTGCAAATGCAATCACGAACTAAACGCGAAGGCGAAGGAAAAGAGCGAGTTCTCCTCTTGGCCAGGAAATGGGTCGAACAGGCGGCGTGTGCTCTGTAGATTGAAAAGTGAAGGGGATCGCGAATCGGTGAAAAATAATGGGCTGCTGCTATTCCGTACTGCTGCTACTGCTGCTTTCTTCCCTCCTGAGTCGGCACCGATTCTTTTTCGATACGAAGTGGGGTTACGTAGCTGCGGTGTGTGTCGTTGGTATCTTTCTTCTCCCTTCTGGTTTCGTTGCAGCACCTAATCAACATAGGGGACTGGCAAATGCCTCCCTATACGTCTGGTCCATACATTATCCAACGTCTCCTGAAATGTACGATCTCATTAAAAATCTACTTGTTCTTCTCGTCCTGCCGCGTTTTCGCGCTGATCCACATCCTGGAGGATCAAAACGAAACACGCACCTACCATATATAACCTTGTTTCGCTGCTATACACCTATCCCCTGACTTATTCCTATAAGCTGTGGAACGACGCCACTGTTTTTGAGCGCCGACAATCACAAAGGGCCATTCTGCTGGTCTCGTTGCCCGAGTTTGAAGAGTTCCTTCTGCAAGCCCGGCGCCAACTATTCTCGCTATTCATATATACGTGACACCTGAGGTTGGTGGCATTCGGAGCAAAAGCAGGGAAATACTGGCTTGGGTGACCGGCAAGGCGCCCTTGCTTCGCCAATGAAGAAGCACAGATTATTGATGACGAGGTACGCTTTATGCTACGTCAGAGAAACAAGAAATTGAACGAGACCAAAAGCGTGAATATCCAGGTAGTGGGCTCCGGAGTGATCTCCATAGGATCAAAGTATGTCGGATACCACGACCCTCGCCGCTGTGAATGTCGTTCTTGGCAGGTAAAGTAACAATCTAGAAAACGTCTAGATTTCACAGTCTTGGCATCCTGAGACTGTCTTTACCCCAGTGTGTAACCGCCATGCGACTTCGGTCTCAGCACTAGTGCACAACTGCCGTACGATTTGTACAATGTCAGGAGTCAAGACTCGAGACATCGTACAGAGTATGTACACGGCAGAAAAGGAGGGGTCGAACAACGTTATCGGCGCTGCCCCACGTCAAATCGCCGGGTTTTGCGAGGCAGCGAGGGGCACTTCAGGCCTGTCCGTAATAGGCTTAGCACAATTTCTAGGTAGCAATTCGAATTCAACGCGTCTTTTGGAAATCCATTAACGCGTCCTGGCCCCGAGAAATCGTCATTGTCAAGCCTCAGACTTACCAAGCAAATTCTGCCAGCAAACATACAAACAAATCAAGATCACATCAGTGACGCGTTCTCACTTCTGAAACTTTGAGTCTTGTGAACAGCACCAGGGAATCGTACGAGGCTTGAAGGAGTCAATATCAGTGGTCATGGCTCTCATTGTCGACAAACATCGGCCACGGTCTCTGGACCAATTGACATACCATTCAGAACTCTCGGAGCGCTTGCGATCATTGGTTAGTTGATGAGAATCCCTCATGATACTTTTCATGTACAAATGGAACGAGTCTAATTCAAGATTTACCAACTACAGGCACAAAGCGGCGATTTCCCACATCTTCTCGTCTACGGTCCGTCTGGTGCTGGCAAGAAGACCCGTATCGTTGCAACACTCAAGGAGCTTTACGGGCCGGGCGTAGAAAAGATCAAGATCGATGCTCGTGTGTTCCAAACAAGCAGCAACCGCAAGCTGGAGTTCAACATTGTCGCGTCCGTATACCACCTCGAGATCACCCCTTCAGACGTAGGCAATTATGACCGTGTCGTGGTACAAGACCTGCTTAAAGAAGTCGCACAAACGCAACAGGTGGATCAGAGTGCCAAGCAGCGGTTCAAAGTCGTGGTCATCAATGAAGCCGACCACCTTACCAGAGATGCCCAAGCAGCATTGAGACGAACGATGGAAAAGTACAGCCCGAACTTGCGATTAATCTTGCTCGCCAACAGCACGGCCAATATCATCGCGCCCATTCGCAGTCGTACATTGTTGGTCCGTGTTGCGGCGCCGACAATTGATGAGATCAGCTCGGCACTGGCGGTCTCAGCAAAGAAGGAGGGCTGGCCAATCGTCCCGGGTCTGCACAAGCGAATCGCAGAAGAAAGCGGACGGAATTTGAGAAAGGCCTTGTTGATGTACGAGGCAGTGCACGCACAAAAGTATGTTCAAGTCGACATCTTTGCCTTTTTGTGCTATGATTTGTGCTAACCTCCATGTAGCGAGAAAGTGACAGATACCACTCCTATACCACCCCCTGATTGGGAGGCTCTTATCGGCCAAATCGCCAAGGAGATCATGGACGAACACTCGCCTGCCCGGATTTTGCAGGTCCGCGCCAAACTCTACGATCTGCTTACGCACTGCATACCCCCGACGACTATTCTCAAGACGCTCACATTCAAGCTCATTGCTTTGATAGACGACGACCTGAAGTGGGAAGTGATCAAGTGGTCTGCCTTTTATGAGCACCGCATCAAAATGGGCACCAAGGTCATATTTCACCTGGAGGCTTTTGTGGCCAAGTTTATGAGGATACTTGAAATCTATCTTATGCAAATGGACATGTAAGACTACTGAGGTTATGTGGGAGAGCAATGGCGTCCGGCTTTGTTTGTCGCATACAAGGAGTCTTGACTGATATAGTCATTGATGGGACAAAAATGATTGATTCTCTGTGTCAAAATTTGTGGTACCAGCACATTAATCGAGTCTGGGTATCTTGGCGGAGTCCTTGCACATGGCGTGTTGTATATCGCTCCTCTGCCGGCAGGCGAATGATATGGGGCACTGTGTATCAGGTCCGAAACCCCTACATTGAGCCGTCGCCTCAGCTCGCGCACAAGAGACCCGATGGAACGGACCACGAGGGAAGGAAGGGACAGGAAGAAGGAAGATTTGGCCCGTGATTGGAGTAGGGAAACCGTTGGACCTGATTGCCAACATCAGACCAAAGCCCCGTCCATATACTGCCGTGTAAAGGTCACACAGTCGCTAATCTTCGGGCCGGCGCTTGGCGTGCTTCCGCTCGGCCTCGGGCCTTGGAACCTGTGTTTGAAGTAGTCATGCCTGACGGCATTCGATGCGGTTTCATCGGACGCAGGGCTATATTAATATTTTTTTTAAACAAGTACATGAGCGCTCTAGGGGTTAAACAGACAAATATACCGACACTTATTTGTCTGTTGACCCTTGCAGTCATATAAGAGATCAGTGTACCTACGAGATAGCCAAGTCCGCCCGCGGCACTCAAGTTCGCCCTAATGTAGTGATGATCCAGGTCTGACTTCAGACCTGCTCTAGTAGCGTAGGGGGGCAATGGCTGAAGGGAGAAACCAAGTGTATGGAATAACCGAGGCCTAATGATTTCGGGCGACAGCGAGCGGGACCTAGCCATGAAGCATATCTTCTTCTTTTACTTTTTGTTTTCTTGGGCCCATACGATGAATGGGAAATATTTAGCCGCATAAAGATATCGGGGTTCAAGGGCCTTCGGATAGGTGAACCCTCACGTGGGTGGTGTTTTCCAGGGACGGTCTGGGAGGTCCTAGGAAAAAAAGAAGAAGTCGGGATCCCGCAGGTTTCTAAACCACCACTCTCGCTATCAAGTTCACTTTTTGGCTGCAACGTACCATACACCAGTGTCATCATTTGAGCAGTTTGTGCTGGCTTATTCAAGCCATGTGTGCAAACGCTTGTTTAAGACTGGCGTGGGCTGATCAGAGACAATAGTTCACCGGTAGTCAGTAGGTAAAATGGAGAGGTTATGTACACTAGAAACCCCAAGTGCTGCTCATTGATTCCTCCTCGACCCACTTTCTTCACCCACGTATGGGCTGATCGCCCAAGGTCGGCCACCCATACTCGGCGAGCGCATATGATGGCTTCCCCGCGTTTCTGGAGACCCTTGGCAAATGGGAGAACGGAAGACAAAGTCTAGGTTGGCCTGCTCATGTGTGTACGTAGTGGTAACGTACCCAAGGGCCAAAGCGTTTAGGTTGAGATCACAATCCTGCTGATCAATTGCTTGCCATGGGAAGAACTAGGTTAGGGGCGGTCGGACGACTGGGACCTTGATGTTATCCTGTCCATTGACCTTGAATATATGCAAGATATGCAACACGGGTGCAGAAGAAAGAGTGGTCCTGCCTAGATACAGAGTACAGTATGCATGTTGCAGGTGGTTGATAGACAGATTGAGAGTCAACTCGCGTAACGCTGTGATGATATGATGCGAGAGTCGCATACTCCCTTGCTGAGAGATGCACAGGTAGTACATTGTTGGATCTCAACCATGTAACCCTCGCCCCCCCAGTATTATTGCTAAGGTTGCCCTGTAGCATGAACGGCCATTCCAAACAGTTGACCCGAATTGGCGGCACGCTTCCCCATAAATAAATGCAGAAGGATGACAGATACCAACTCGGTGTCTGTGCCAGAGAGCCACAGCCAGCATACATACGTGGTAAAGGTACGCGACTTGATGTACGTATACTTTAAAGATGCGGGGTTCAGGGCCTTGGGCCCGGCTCGAACGTGCATTTGAAATCCCAACTGCCATGCAAGAATTTGGAAGCACTCGTGACAGGGATCGGGGAGAGTGGAGGATGATGATCATGGGCAGAGGGTTAGTAGAAGAAAGAATGAAAAAAAGCCGCGCCAGGATTTGTACTTCCTATCAACCGGATCGCCTGAACAGGTGAAAAAAGCGATAAACAGAAGCCTGAAGGGTACCTACATTTACCTACCTACACCACTCACAAATCTGGAATCCATTTTGCCTACATCGGCGCCGTTCAACTTTGCTGCTAAAAAAGGTTGCGCGATTTCAAGTTACTAACAGTAGTGGACTACCCTTTAGTTTTATTTATAATGTCCTTGAATAATCGGCTCTGCCTGGCTTGAGTTACGCAATTTCACGTAATGGGCGATACATTGTTATAGAGCATGGTTATCCTTAGCAGTTCCCTTCCTCCCGCAAGTCTCGAGAGAGAGCTCTTTCAATGCGCGGCTCGCCTGTGGTCTCCGGCCCGGGTAACATTTCAGAATCGAGAGAGGTCGTCGGCAACATGGTTCGCATGGTTACTAGTTCGTCTACATACCCACGGTAGGCTGCACGGCTAAGCGACTCTCATTGGACCTCAGGCTGAACCATGTCGGCACCCGGCGTACCGCCTGTCTGAGAGAGTTGAATTGGGAGCTTTTGTTGGCCATTAGGTTTCCCACATATAGAGTTCCTGACATTCGAGACTCGTCTGGAAGCCCAAAAAGGTGTATTGTGGTGTACCGTTGTCAGCACTTGGAATGTGCGGAAACCACCCGTGGTCTGGGGGAAAATGACAGCCTCAAAAGACAAGGGACCAAATAAACCGCCGATAGCGCTAAAGGCTGGTAAAATATATGACAATATAGTAAATATATTATTTTATCGGCTTCGGCTTCGCGCTTAAATGATTTGTGTATTGAATGCTTATAGAGTAATCTTCAAGTTTATGTCCTAATGTATATAGTTGTGAAAATAAATAGTGTTCCTTTACTTGAAAGATTATGTACCTAGCAGTAACCACATTGCTAGAAACTAGAAAATCGTTGAGTAACATCGATATCACCCGATCGGGGCATATTGTCTTCGGAGTACCAATGATTGGGGAGTTGGCTCGCGGTCGAGCGGAAGCCGTCAGCGCGAATGGTCCACTGGAAGCAGAAACATCCCGGCCGTCGCATGCCACTAGCGCGTATGCAGGGCCCAGAGGGAGGCACTGGAGTCTGTTATTCACCTTCGGGCCATCATTCATTATTTTGCCGTAATACAAAAACTTCCCACGCTGCTGTCTCAATCTGGGTGCGCATCACTTTTTGCTTCTCCGTTCTTCCTCCGAGCCTCAATTTATCTCTTCCTTTTTTACCTCTTCCATATATTCCCTCCTCTTGGAGAAAGAAGATTGTTCTTGTCGCCGAGTTCGAGTAGGAGAGAGAGCCATCTTTCTCCTCTTGTCCGTCTGAGACTGCTGACACATTAGTCCGGAGCTCAACAGAAGCTACCCCGCCTACCCTGATCTGACCTGACTGAGAGCCGAACGCGCAGAAGCTCAGCAGCAGCGGCAGCAGCCCACCAAAAGAATCATGTCCAACGGCAAGACCCCGGTGGTGGCCGAGGCCCACGAGGTCGACACCTTCCGTAAGATGCCCCGTAGAGGCATAATGACCTCGAATGATCGAAAGAAAAGAAAAAGTAGAATGAGACGTGATTGCTGACAATGGAATGTGCCTGGCAGACCCGCCGCAGAAAATGCTTGACAGTAAGGAGCACCCAATTTTAAAAAGAAGCCGCCGCGAGCGAGCGAGCTCTTTTTCCTGTATGCAGGTGAAATCAGTGGGTCTAACGTGCAATTACAGAGCACCCTAGCAAACCCCATATCGGCAGTAAGTCGGCCTACTCTTGCTATTATGGATGGCTGTGAGGGTGGAATGCATGCTCACAATCATAATGTAGGCCTGGAGGAGTACCAGAAAATGTACCAAGAGTCCATCACCAACCCAGACAAGTTTTGGGGTCAAAAGGCACGGGAGCTGCTCACTTGGCAACGTGATTTCCAGACTGTGCGCACTGGCACGCTAAATGACGGTGACAGTGCCTGGTTCTTGGAGGGTCAACTCAATGCTTCGTACAACTGCGTCGATAGACACGCCATCAAGAACCCGGACAAGGTTGCCATTATCTACGAGGCCGACGAGCCTCAAGATGGCCGAAACTTGACTTATGCCGAACTTCTCCGAGAGGTGAGCAGGACTGCATGGACCCTCAAGCAGATGGGTGTCCGCAAGGGAGATACCGTTGCCATCTATCTTCCCATGATTCCCGAGGCCATCATTGCCTTGTTGGCAGTTGTCCGTATCGGAGCCATCCACTCTGTCGTCTTTGCCGGTTTCTCGTCAGACTCGCTACGAGACCGTATCCTTGACGCCAAGTCCAAGGTTGTCATTACGACCGACGAGGGCAAGCGTGGAGGCAAGTTGATTGGCACCAAGAAGATTGTGGATGAAGCTCTCAAGCAGTGCCCTGATGTGACCAACGTGCTTGTCTACAAGAGGACCGGAAACCCCGACACCCCTTGGACTCCTGGCCGGGATCTGTGGTGGCACGAGGAGGTTGAGAAGTGGCCTTCGTACATTGCTCCCGAGACCATGGACTCGGAAGATCCTCTCTTCCTGCTGTACACATCGGGATCAACGGGCAAGCCCAAGGGTGTTTTGCACTCCACTGGTGGCTACCTGCTGGGCGCCGCCATGACTGGCAAATATGTCTTTGACATTCATGATGGCGACCGTTACTTCTGTGGTGGCGACGTCGGTTGGATCACTGGACACACCTATGTCCTGTACGCTCCGTTGTTGCTAGGTGTCTCGACCGTTGTCTTTGAGGGTACACCCGCCTACCCCAACTTCTCCCGGTACTGGGATATCATTGAGAAGCACCAGGTTACCCAATTCTATGTTGCACCAACGGCACTGCGACTACTCAAGCGTGCTGGAGATGACTACGTCAAGCACAAGATGGCTCACCTTCGAGTCCTTGGCTCTGTAGGTGAACCGATTGCCGCCGAGGTCTGGAAGTGGTACTTTGAGGTCGTTGGTAAGGAGGAAGCACACATTGTGGACGTAAGTTGTGACAAAATCTTGGGGCAAAAACAAATATCGGATTCTAACAACCGTAGACTTACTGGCAAACCGAGACTGGTTCCAACGTCATCACACCGCTTGCTGGTGTTACTCCTACCAAGCCAGGTAGCGCCTCGTTGCCCTTCTTTGGCATTGAGCCTGCCATCATCGACCCGGTTTCCGGCGAAGAAATTCACGGAAATGATGTCGAGGGAGTGCTTGCCTTCAAGCAGCCTTGGCCCAGCATGGCGAGAACCGTCTACGGCTCGCACAAGAGATATATGGACACATACCTGAATGTATACAAGGGCTACTATGTAAGTATTTCCGCGCATTGCAAATGCTGTAAAAGTAAGCGTGCTGATGAGTGTACAGTTCACTGGAGATGGAGCCGGTCGTGACCACGAGGGCTTCTACTGGATCCGTGGCCGTGTAGATGATGTCGTCAACGTTAGCGGCCATCGTCTTTCGACCGCCGAGATCGAAGCTGCTCTGATCGAGCACCACGCGATCGCCGAGGCTGCAGTTGTTGGTGTGGCAGATGAACTCACTGGACAGACTGTGAACGCTTTCGTGGCTATCAAGGATGGCAACGAGGCTAGCGATGCACTCCGCAAGGAATTTATCCTACAAGTGCGGAAGAGCATTGGTCCCTTTGCTGCACCCAAGGCAGTCTTCATCGTGCCTGACCTTCCCAAGACGCGCAGTGGCAAGATCATGCGTCGCATTCTAAGAAAGATCCTAGCTGGAGAGCACGACTCGATAGGCGACACGTCAACTGTAAGTAACAGTTCACAAATCCTGAAATTGTCAATGCATCACTAACATGACGACTTTTAGCTGTCTGACCCTGATGTTGTCAACAAAATTAGTGCCATTGTGGCAGATTCAAAGAAGAAATGATGAGGTTGAAGGAATAAACATGGGAGGAAGGAGAGGAGCTACTGATACCACGATCGACATGTTTGTCTCATGACTATTTGGGCAAGGAGCGCGTGTGATTCCAGCTGCGACACAGACAGCTTACCTACTGTACAATCAAATCAAATAAATATCAAAGAACAACAACGACATTCGCCTGTTGGAATGATGGCACGCTCGCACAGCTGAAATGTTAATGCAGATTGCATGACACTCACCATTACTGATCGCTCGTAGATACAAACAGGACTCAACCATATTTTGTCATGTACACCATGGGATCAAGTCAGAAGTGAAGAACCCCACGTGTCCAAGCTATAAGAATAGTGATGCATTTGGTTCGTATGGACCAGTGGATCGCGTTTGGATTTTGAGAAGTAAGTGATGATAAGTAGGCGCAACAAATGTCTGAGCCATTATACGAACCGACGAAAGTCAAAAGATCAAGAGAAGGTCGCGTCAAACAACTTGGAGGGCAATATATTCTGTTTGACGGGACAAATGAGCGATATCTGATTCCGTCTTCCCCGTCTTACCCGTCTTTTCCGGTAAGAAATGTAAGCACATGATCCGTTTCTTGAGCTACTATCATAATACTCACGTGTATCAGACTTTGTATATATTAGATAGGATAAATAAACATTCAAAAAGGGGATAGGAATAAGCAACTAGTTAGCGTTTGAAGAGCAGAGGGAGGGAATTCAATGCGTTTAGCGAGGCACGGTTGAATTTCGTCTGAATCAATATTCGGGATATATATATATATATATATCAGGCGTTTTGAGGTCTCTAGATAATTCTGGAATCAAAGGAAACGATGGGACGACTGGATTGTGCTAGGTATTTGCATCTGCCACGAATATCGGTTGGCACCGGAATTTACTCTCATTTCATTGCCAAGTCGGAATGTGCAGCACAAGAAGTATCATTGATACTCGTATGGCTAGTAGCACCTATTAACTATGTGAATAGCAAGCTGCAAGCATAAACGCATGACAACTAACCAGTATAGACCGCACAATGGCGATCATGCTCAGAGGCCCCCCTTGTGAGATCATTGCTGCTTTGTCTCGAAAGACTGTGCTGCCCTTGCAGATGTCAGATACTTGGCAACGAGAATACTACCATATGATTATACTGCCAACGAATATAAAAGTTTCTGTCGCTCGAAGACCCCTGACCTATATGCATTATGGCCTCGCCGAGCCCTCTGACTCAGCCGGCCCGGAGTTGTATAGCAATGCAAGAGAACGGAAGCCCCACAGGCCCGAAGTAGACCGATAATGGTCGGCCCGTATTCTCCTTCCGCTGTCATGGCAATATTATCAGCACCGTTGGCAGATAGAAATGCATGATAGAGTAACACGGTCATCCATGTCCAAACAGCTGGTTCTTAATACGTGTTGGTTAAAGTGAAGGAACGCATCATATACCCCGCCTAAAGGAGCCTCGGCTGTAGTTGGTGCATACTCGACTGAGTAATTGCTTGCAGCTAATTATAGTACTGATTTTTGATGGTTCTTTTTGTGAATCGTATCACCAGTTCAATAGTGGCTTGCATGGATATGCTCTCTCGGGTTACCGGTGTGATCCAACAGCCCGCTGTGTGGTCCGATATGAGTTTTGCCGTACACGAACAAGTACATATGTGGTGTAGCTACTTAGTTTGGCCGTGTGCATATGAAACCGCCAACATTGCCGGGACTGGCTTGCAGGCAGTGACAATGCGACATGGTTGTTGTTGGTGCGGAGGTTGTACCGCACTTATAAACATCTTGGCATTTGCTATCGAGTACAGTGTGCATAACTTACCGTGGCAGCACTGTAATAGGTCTCGCCGTTGCCTCTTGCATTATGTTTTTCTTGGGGTCGCAAATGCTTTAAGAAAAAGTCTAGTATGCCACTTTTTTTTCCGCCTTTGCGTCGTTTTTGAACCTCTGTTTTGAGTTTCTCAGCTGTAACAATTTTGCCATGGCAAAGTCAAATTCGTGGCCGTGGAAGGCATATCTGCCATTCAGATTAGTTTGGCAACTATATTATCTCAGTGCACTTCTAGCGCGTCTCCCATTATGGATATTCAAGTTTGGACTGTTCCGGTCACTGAGACCTCACCCCGAGTGGACTTTTGAACAAGCGCTCAAAGCTCAATTGATCCGCACCGTAGTTGATGCTCAGAGCAAGATTGGTATCAGCGATCCCATTTCCCTCCGACCTGGTGCCGAAAAGGAGAGGTTCAAGACTATAACACCATTCTCCAAGAACTTGTACAAAGGACCGCTCGAGTCCAATGTTACACCCACGACAATAGGAGGAACTTGGTACCCCTCATTCAAGACCGCGCGAGATATAGGACCTCAGGGCACTGTCGTTTTGCATATCCATGGCGGTGCATTCGTCACGGGCGATGGTCGAACAGCAAGTTTGGGCTTTCTGTCCAATACTCTGGTCAAATACGCGAGGGTCGATGCGGTCTTTGCTCCACAATACCGACTGTCGGGCTATGGCGACACAAATCCATTTCCTGCCGGTCTTCAGGATGTCTTGACCAGCTATCTCTATCTGGTGCGCACCCTCGAGATCCAGCCCCGAAACATCGTCATCTCGGGCGACAGCGCAGGAGGGAATCTTGCCATTGCCTTTCTGCGCTACCTGGCCGAGTACGGCAACGATCTGGGAATACCCAACCCACAGAGCGCCGTGCTCATCTCGCCGTGGGTGTCGCCTCAGAACTCTTTGGGTTCCGACATTACGTACATGAGCAATCCTAACTATCCTACGGATATCCTGCCGCCCGAGTTCACACGCTGGGGTGCAGCCACGTACGCGGCCAAGACACCCGTCACGGATCCGTACATAACTGCCCTTGGCAATCCGTTTGCGACGCGTGTTCCAATGTTCGTCACGCAAGGCGCCATTGAGATACTCGAGATTGACGGAACTCAATGGGTCAAGGAGATGAGTCGGGTGGAGGGTAACAAGATTGAGTCGGTTTACGAGCCGCTGGCGATTCACGATACCTTGCTCATTGGCGACCGCAGTGGTTGGGTCGAGAGTGCCAGAACGGTGGCGGGTCGCATTGGCGATTTTATCGAGGCGGCGGGGCGTCCGGAGGATACTAGTCGGAGCGACATTCCTCTCAAGTTGTGAACACCGATGTTATAGTCGGTCGTGTCGTTTACTTAGCGGCCATAGTGGATTTTATTACACAACTATAGCGAAATAAGCTTTTCACAAATAACAATTCATCAGATTCACCAAATCCACCAAAATGCACATAACCAATACTGTATGCCAGCATCAAGTTTGTGTGATGGCTCTTCTGCGTCGTGGAAAACATTCTCCTACACAGTCCTTGACACTGTAGGGTACCTCGGCTTCCTTTTCGTGATGCGGGGATCTGCACCACGTCTCGCAACACCATTGCAACCCGAGCAAGGATTAGGAAACGATTGTGCCTAGTGATGGCGGGGGCTATCTGTTCAAGACGATGATCACTGTCGAGTATACAGAGCTTCAAGAGGGCCGATCTCAAACGAAAGCCAAGGAAATCAATAATGGCTGAGCACAAATATCTGATGATCCCATGCTTGTAAACCGAAACCCGAATACATGCCCAAGAATCACCAAGCTCGGACTAGAGGAAGTCGAGCTGAATATGTTCCTGCATCATGAACGAGGGATCCAAAGGTGCTCCGCACGCGACCGCAAGAATGTTGCTCAAGTGACAAGCCACCATGCTACGTCACTACTACTCAAGGGAGACACGCTCCCCTCGTTTCTTGATTATTTTATAGGTTGCACAGTGTACATGGAACGCTGTACTACCATATAAGTATATCTGGGGTTCCATTGGGGTTCCCCCAGGGTTCGTCCGCATTGTAAATTTCTCTTTTTGTCCCTGTAGATACCGTATTCTATCATGGCGGTCGGCAACGCAGTTTCCAGCACAGACGAATATGACCTCATTATCGTGGGGGCAGGTATATCTGGGATCAACTGTGCTTACCGTCTGCAGACGAGGCTCCCAAATCTAAAGTTTGCCATTCTCGAAAACCGAGAGGACATTGGTGGGACCTGGGACCTGTGGAAGTATCCCGGCATCAGGTCGGACTCTGACCTGCACACGTTTGGCTTCTCCTGGCAGCCGTGGCCACACGAGAGTCCCATTGCCGAAGGGCCCTTGATCATTTCCTATATCAAAGAATGCATAGCAAAACACGGTCTCGATAAATACATCAACCTCCGCCACAAGGTGCTCTCGGCCGACTGGTCGTCCAAGACGAACCGTTGGAGTCTGGCTGTAGATCATGAAGGAAAGAGAAAGAACTTTACGGCAAAGTTTACGGTCCTGGGTGCTGGATACTATGACTTTGAGCAACCTCTCAAGGTTGAAATCCCAGGGCTGAATCGATTCAAAGGAAAGGTCATTCACCCACAGTTCTGGCCCGAGGACTATGATTACACCAACAAGAAGGTAGTCGTCATTGGCAGCGGAGCCACGGCCATCACGTTGCTCCCGAGCATGGCCAAGAAGGCCGCACACATCACCATGCTGCAGCGGAGCCCGTCGTATATCATTGCGGCGTCGCAAAAGTGGCAGGGCATGATCCCGCGCGCGTGGTGGCCGCAGTGGCTGCTCAGCTACGTCGAGCGGTGGTGGTACATGGCCTATGCCCAGTTCTCCGTCTTCATGTGCGAGTGGTTCCCCAAGCTCGTGCGCAAGTTCCTGCTCAAGGAGACGACCAAGCTGCTGCCCACGCGCATTGCCCTGGATCCTCACTTCAGCCCGCGCTACAACCCGTGGGACCAGCGCGTCTGCTTTGCGCCCGACGGCGACTTTTACCAGTGCCTGCACACGCCCAAGGCCGACGTGGTCACGTCGCGCATCCGCACCGTGACCGAGGACGGCGTCGACCTCGAGATTGGCAAGAAGCTCGAGGCCGACCTGATCGTGACGGCGACGGGCCTGCGCATGCAGTGGGGCGGCGGGATCCCGCTGCGGGTCGACGGCGAGCCCGTCGACGTGGGCGGCCGGTTCATCTGGAACGGCGCCATGATCCAGGACATGCCCAACCTCTTCTTCATGGTCGGCTACACCAACGCGTCGTGGACCATGGGCGCCGACGACACGGCCTTTATCATCACGCGGCTGATCAAGCACATGGAGAGTCGCGACCTGCACGTGAGCGTGCCGCGGGTCGCCCCGAGGGATGCGCGCATGAAGAAGAGTCCGTACTGGCATCTCAACTCGACCTACGCCAAGGAGGCCGAGGCCCGAAACCCGAAGTACGGAGACCGGGGTCCTTGGAGGGCTCGGAACAAGGTCATTCACGACTATTTACATGCTAGATTTGGAAACTATACGCAGGGGTTGCATTTCGTTAGTTGAAGGGGGAGAAGGTGAGAAGAGATTGGACGTTGGGGGAACCGAATACATGGCGTTATGTTTACCTAGGTACCTAGTCTGAAGGCTGTGTTTGCAACTGTGAGACGAGATATTCTGGGCAATGTTTGAATTCACATGATATGCTAGCGACTACCTCGGACTCTTTTGCACGCACATTGGAAGAGCACTCGTGAATTCCATTCTGCTATCAGGCTGGTGAGAGGCAAAAGACTTCGCCATCTCTTGCTATTTCGTGCTTTGAGTATACAATCACCCTGCCTCCTACCCACCGAGCGCCCTAATCTTAGTGTGGTTAGGTATTTATGGGGGAGAATCAAGCTCGCCATCGGCTGTTGATGCTAAGGAGCTTCCGCCCCTAATGGCGCAGATCAATGCCTTAGTTCAGGCGAGATACTCCTCGACTTGACGAATCAGAAGACTCAAATGTGGACCTGTTGGTCTACGGATGCACCGTGTATTTAGGACAGTTGGGGGGGAGGGGGAGCAAAGGAAAGGAAAGGATCTCGGGTTCCATCTCCACGTTGCGGGGTAACAGGGTTCAGCTCTAACTAGTCATTTTTTCTCATCTGCGACCTAGACGATTTACGTGGCTAGCCAAGAGTCGCTCTGATCGGGGACTTGGAAGGGGAGGGGACTTAGGACTTAGGGACATGTTGTAGTAAATGTCTGTTGTTTTGTACCGGTCATCGATGTGATTTGATGCATGAAGAGCAAGCTTGTGCGTTTTGGTCGGCATATACGCACAGCACTTCAGGTGTGCCAACCATCAGATGGAGGCAAAGATAGACCTAAACAGCATTACCGCCTAGGCCTGGCATATGATCCATATTCAGGGCTTCAAGCCTCGGTCGCCCCTCCTTGGAACAACGACGATCATTGTATCTTTAATTGAAGCGGCTGGTCCAGGTCTCTGGTTCTCTACTACCCATCGACTCACCCTCAGACATGGTGGCGGCTTGAATACTTTCCATGATAGCTCACACGTACAGAGTACATGCACTGCGACCAAGCCTTGGCACCAAGCGTACCCCTGGTCCTGCATCCCAGGTAGACGCGCAGGACTCGATTGGCAACATCTCCATATTTTCGGGTCAGCTCCAATCTGACAGTCATCATCATACCAACTGTTACCATAATCTTCAAGATTGGACAAGTTTGACTCTCTAATCCTGTGATATCTGCTCTTTATACCCGCCAGACCACGACGATATCTTCAACATGGCGACGAAGGAGGTACCCGCATCAGAGCTGGGACACCAGGATGTCAAGCTTCCGGATCCACCATCCTCATCCTTCTTCACCGATGCTCAATGGAAGACGTGGTGGGCTTTGATGGACACGGTGATTCCATCCATCGGCCCTCAATCAGCAGAGGTTCAGGGAAGATATGAAGTATCGCCAACCCAGCTCCAGTCGTACTACGAAGCATGCAAGAGCAAATTAAACTCTCCGCCAAGCCAGGCCGAGTTCGAGGCATACTTGTCGGAGAAGCCATCTGATAATGAAGCCTTTCGGTCTCACATGTATAGGACTCTATCAGGGCTCCCAAAAGAGCAGAGAGAGCAGCTTGGTGGAGCTATTAACATGCTTGGGTACGTATTCACTGGCCACAGCATTTGCCGCGACACTAAACTAACCATCATCTCAGAACACGCTTCGGGAGCCTTATGATCAGTGGCTACATGACACCTTTCCACGACTTGCCCGCGGAAGCGAGAGAAAAGATCATTCAAGCATGGCAAGCGTCGTACTTTACAAAATTCCACGGCCTTGCAAAATCCGTCACGGCGTTGGCGACGAATCACTGGATCCAGCATAGCCCCGGGTTCCGAAGCCTCAGTGGCTGGAAAGATGTCCCAGAAGGGTACAAGGCAGCCAAGGTGCAAGACTATACCTTTAAGCAGTTTGAGGCCGGTGATGATCCGCTCACCATTGACACCGACGTGGTCATTGTGGGCTCGGGCTGCGGCGGAGGTGTTTGCGCCGAGGTGTTGGCCAAAGCCGGACATCGGGTCCTTGTTGTGGAAAAGGGGTATTACTTCCCACCATCTCACCTGCCAATGAGAGAAGATACTGGCGCTTACCACTTGTTTGATGGGAACGGCATCATAACTAGTGAAGACGGCACTTTATCGATCATGTCGGGAAGTACCTGGGGAGGCGGTGGTGCGGTCAATTGGGGCGTGAGCCTTCAGCCTCCCGAATATGTCCGCCAGGACTGGGCCAAGAAGCATGGCCTGCCTGTGTTCGCTACACAGGAGTTCCAGAACTCACTAGATCGGGTCTGTGAGTTCATGGGCGTCTCTGATGCCACCGTCCAACAGAACCATCGCGGTCAAGTACTTCTTGACGGAGCCAAGAAGCTGGGCTACAAGGCCAAGGTTACACCGCACAACAATGGTAACGCGGAGCACTACTGCGGCCATTGCCATTTGGGCTGTGGATCTGCCGGAAAGAAGGGTCCCGCGGTGAGTTGGCTACCAGCTGCCGCCAAGAACGGCGCCGAGTTCATCGAGGGCTTCCAGGTCGACAAGGTCACGTTTGATGACTTTGCTTCTGGAAAGAAGGCCTCGGGCGTCAAGGGCAAATGGGTCTCTCGAGATGCCGAGGGCGGTCTCAATGGACCGCTCGGTAAGCGTGTCACGAGAGACATTGAGATCAAGGCGAAGAAAGTAATCATTTCGGGAGGTTCCTTGTGGAGTCCCGTGATTTTGCAAAAGAGTGGCCTTGCGGTAAGACCTGGTCCAATTCTGCATTCGGAAACATGGAAGGAAAACTAATTGATTTGTGCAGAATCCGCAAATAGGCCGGAACCTCGCCATGCATCCTGTCACGGTCATCTTTGGATACTGGAAGCAAGACGTCAACCCATGGGAAGGTAAGTGATTTCGCCATCAATCCACACTTGCTTGAATACTGACACTCGAAAGGATGTGCTATCAGCAGTGTGGTGACGACCTTTGAAGATTTGGATAATGAAGGCAACGGAACCAAACTGGAAGCCTTGTCCATGGTGGTGAGTACATGGTTAATACTATTACCTGAAATTAGTACAAGTACTGATGTCAGCACAGCCCTCGATTGTCTTTCCGCAATATAGATGGCGCAGCGGTATAGACTTCAAGATGTCGGCCCTCCGATATCGAAACTTGAACGCATTTTTTTCCATGCCCCGAGACAGAGACACGGGCCATATCTACACAGACCCAGAGACAGGGAGACCGCGCATCGTGTATACCCCCGGCGCCTTTGATAGGGCCAACGCGCTAGAGGGCGTTATTGGTTTGCTCAAGATTCTATTTGCCGAGGGAGCAGAAGAGATCCGCACAAGCATGAAAGGCATCGATCCATTCATTCGCAGCACTGATGAGGATGAGAAGCAGGAAGCAGCGAGGTTTGAGAAGTGGCTCGCAACAGTTCGTGCAACAGGCGTTAGCGCATCCGACGGCTGGGGCTGTGCTCACCAGATGGGCTCATGCCGCATGAGCAAGTCGGCAGAGGACGGCGTGGTTGACGCCAAGGGCAAGGTCTGGGGAGTCGAAGGTCTACATGTTGCCGATGCCAGCGTCTTTCCGACGGCCACAGGAGTCAACCCAATGGTAACCACCATGGCTGTTGCGGATATGATTGCCAAGGGCATAGCCGCCGACTTGGATGGGCTGAAGGCTTAAGTAGCCTCCAAACATGGATTTCCTTGCTGAGCTGTTTTGAGGGTAACGACACGAGGATCTACATTAATGTCAATGGAATCAGCCGTCATGCTTTATTACTTTGCATGTCTTGTATTGTC